CAGCCCCCCCCCCCCCCCCCCCCCCCCCCCCCTGTGTCCTCCTGTGCTGCTGTGGCGCGATTTTTGCATAGGTGGCAACACGTCAGCAACACGACGTCGATGTGGGAGACGGCCGCCACTCCAACACCAACACCGGACTCTCTTCGCGTGGTGGCACGGGGGGCGTGCCCATGTCCTCCACCGGCGGGGGCGGAGGGATGCAGTATGGTTCGGAGGCGGGAGGAGAGAACAACAGCAGCTACGGCGGTGGCGGTGGCCATGTCGTCCCGTCTCCGTCTCACTCACAGGCAAACTCGATGTCGTCGAGCTATCGGAACATCCAACAGGTAAGCGGGGATCATCCAACAGATATCTGTTGAAGGGCTCTCTGGGCCGGAGAGGTCACCACCCCACCCAATGCCATGCGACCTGGGTTGCTGCTGCTTACGACAACATGCCCTTTGCAAAAATAGAACTTTTTTTTTTCCCATCAACCAACCCTGCGGTATGAAGATGATGAGCATACCCTCTCACTGCGGCAGTGGAGGTTACAAGTATGCAGGCGAAGAGAGACCCAGGCTGCGGATGGTGGTGGGCCTGATTGTATGGAACGTGTTCATGTGGCTGGCACGATTCTCTTTTTTTCTTGCTCTATGCCTACCTCGCCGCCACCACACTCTGATTGGACCCGCACAACCCAAACCAACCCAACCCAACCCCAGTTGCGGTCCGAAGATGGTATGGGATCGGTCCTGGGCACTCTGGCGGGCACCGAGGACTCGACCAATGAGGATCTGCAGTGGAAACGAAGCGCGCTCAAGAAGTTCCACAAGGTGCGTGGTTGCTTGCTGATTGGATACCCTCGTTTGCTACAAATAGGTTTACATTAGATAGAGTTGTGTTTGGATGCACGGCAAGATTGGACTCTCGTTTGCTTGGTTTACATTGGATAAAATCAGGTTGGTATGCGCGGCAAGATTGGATCCTCATGCCAGTGTCTCTCTCTCACGGGGCATTCGGCGGTTTCCTCGAGGCCTAGAGGTGTTGCTGTACATACGGGGAGTAAGAAGTGCCACGAAGCAGTGCCGGAAAGGGCAAGAGAGTGCTCAATGATGGTGTTTGTTGCAGTGTTTCGTCAAGGGAAGACCTACAAGCATTTTTTATGTGGAGCAGTATTAATGGCAGGAATCATGTGTAAAACGTAACATCCATTTTGCCATTTCGTCCTTCCTGTGGGACACGACACCACAGGTGATGGTGAAGGGGGAAGGGCTTCGAGTGGTGAAGCACAACCGCTCGGGAGGGTCCCAGATGCGCATCATCCGGTACGACCCGGAGATAAAGGCCTTGGTCTGGAACAGCAAGCGGTATATGAAGAAAGGTGCGGTTTTTCATTTTCCCTATTATAGTGCCCAAGTACATAAATTTTCAGTGGTTTTATGGTGTGAACCCTTTTTTTTTTTATCAATAATGGTCCGTGTTTTTTCGATTTTCCCCAAAGCAGAGATGTCATTCCAGTTGCAGTAGTCGTATGAGCGAGCTGTATTTTTAGACACCATTTTGTTGAGGGGTGTCGTCATGGGCGTGAGGCATGCTGTACGCGGGGGTGAGATGAGGATACTGACAAGTGCGCGGGTTGGTATTGGCATCTACGTTGACTGAGCGAAAATGTACACGTGTGAAGTGATGCAAGAGGTTAGTCTGCAGAATGCGCCAAAGGGAGTGGCGTCTCGATCGACCATTGTTGTGTCTACACCAGGAGCATGAGCATGGTCCATGCTTCCTCGACTACTGAAGACCCCTTCTTGTACAATGCTGCGTGGTTGTCATCCAACCACTCAATAAATTTAGCCAAATACTTGTACAGTACAAAAAAATGAGAACGCCCCCCGGCCCCCCTGTTGCTTATTTGTTCCCTTCACCGTTGGTCCGTGTGCATCGTCAATCATCAATCATCAATCATCAATCAATCGTCAATCATCAGCTGGATCGGCAAACGTTCCGATCGTGGGCATCAAGCGCGTGGGTCGAGAGGGGAACACGGTGTCCGTCACTGCGGCAGGCCGTGGAACCATTGGCTTCGAACCCGCAGGTAAAGACCCCCCCCCCCCCCCCCCCCCCCCCCAACCACACAGATGGCATGATACTTGACACGGCGTATGACCGCCTTTGTCGTGCCGAGATAGATTTACCCTGCCCAAAGCTGATACGAAAGCTTTAGCTTTGAATTGAATTAAATTAATTGAACGAAACACACGCCACACTTGTCTGTGATTTCGGTTTGTTTTGCGCGTATGCCATGCATACCAGGCGGCAACGGCATGAGCAAAGTGCATGCGCATTTGCATATTCTCTTGACCGTGGATCTCGGTTCATTGACAGACTGATGTTAGATGGTGCGACGTAGGCAGCACTTCAAGGGCGTTCCCTACCTTCTGCATTACATCCAAGATTCCTTCTGCGACATTGTCCTCGGTTTCCCTCGCTCCATTGGACGACAATGGCTCCTTTGACCCTGATTGGCTGCATGCCTGCCTTGTTGTCTAACTCGTCATGTGTTTTTCGTTGCTGCTGCTGCTGCTGCTGCTGCTGCTGCTGCTGTGCACCTTGGCCTACAGCGCATCCGAGATGCCAAGATTTTGGCTGAGGCGTTGCGTGCGCTAGTAGACAAGGAAGAAAGGTCGGCGATGTGGAGGGGCTAATAGGCTTACTTAAGCCTTGTCCAGCGGCCCGTTTGACTCGGGAGAGGCTAGTGCGGCAGTCATTCAAGCCATGCCGCTTGGCTGGGCCTGTCGTAGCGATCGAATCTGGCAGGAGGGGTCGTACATCATGCCCCCCCCCCCCCTCAACGGTGGAAATCTGATCTCTATTGGGTGAGACAGAAACGGGAGGTGTCCCGTCATGGAGGTTGTTTCTGTGTACAGCCTCGCCGCTTGTGTCTTGCCATGACTTGTGCGTGGGTTTAGTCAAGGTTTATATTTTTCGGGGAGAGAGAAGGAAGGTATTCATGAATATACGGGAGCGTGTCGCTTGACACTGCGGCCATCAGTTATCCATTCCGAAACAGGAGTAGTCGTAGAAGAAAAAAAAAAGAACAATAGTTGATCGCAGAAGTGTCCACATGCCGGCTTGGATGCGTTTCTTCTGTTCCGGGGTTGACTTCAACCAGATGGGCGCAGTCCACCAGCGATGGGGAAGAGGAGAAAGGAGTAGGAGTGCTGTATCCGTCGCGTGTTTTTTTTATCATTCGTGGCCTGCGAGCAACTATACTATGTTGTAGGTGTTTAGTTTAGTCATATTTTATTGTGATTCTCTCGCTCGCTCTTATCGCCCTCTTCAGGTCCCGCTCCTGTTTCCCCGTAAGCGAAGCTTTTTGTTTTTCTCGAACGATTCCAACGCCGCGTTTGTTCGGAGAGTGCTGGCGGAGGTGAATCCGAAAAAGCATCGCTTCTCTTAGCTGCAGAGACTTCGTATCGGTCGCTTTTGTCAAAATTCTGTTGTGGGCAATTCTCATTTTTTCTTGGTAGATACCGTAGATCGTGCTTGCTCTCTCGTCTGTTTGTCCGTTTTTTTTTACATCAATTTCGTCGGGCCTGCGCAGCCCGCCTGCATTCCTTGAGAACCCCAACTGGCTCGGCTAGGCGTTGTTGGTTCTTTGGAACGGGACAGCGTTTTGTGTTTTCTCTGCGGCTTGTTTGAGTCTCTCTCTTTCTCTTTTGTCAAAGAGAATTGTCATAAATTCGGTATTATACGTACGGAATCTGCTTTCTTTCATATCCGGCTGCCGGCCGGCAGCTTGCGCTGATTGGTCACGTGAGAAAGGAATCTAGTATTTTGTATTTTGCATGTTGTATCTGCTTTGGTCGCATGACGTTGTGCGTGCGATGATCGATGACAATTGAGTTCCAGCGGTTGGTGCAGCGTCCGCGGCGAGAGACGCCCGGAGGGACACAGACAGGCAGGGTGACGGTTAGGGAGAGTTCTGCTGTATTTTGTCCAGGGATTAGTTGGTAGTACTCGTGTAGCTTGCTGTTCGTGTTGGCCCCTCCTCGTATGAGGTGATTCGGTTTTAGTGTCTCATTCTCGTGCGAAAGATACCGACCGCGGGGCCCTGCCCTGCCGTGGCACGAAAGAGCCTATTTTAAGCTCTTGAAACCGTCGCCGCACAACCTGTAGGAGGTACTAATAGGTGTCAAGATACTTCGATAGTTACGGCTTGGATGGTTTTCGCTCTATCTCTCTCTCTCTTGAGATCTTTGATGTGTTTTTCTTTGTTTGTTTTGTGTCTTCGGCATCCGTCCATCCATCTATCTGCGTCTGTCTGCGGTCTGTTTTTTTTCTCTGCCTCAGCGGCGTTGCCATTTGTTCCTTTTTGTGATCGCGCAGGAGGACGGTTGGGTTGAGTAAGAACTGCCCAGTTCGTTTGATCGCGTGTCCGCAGAGTCGTAAGGAGAGTTGAGGGAAAAGGGGGTACCACGCGGATGGGGGGCTGGGAAGACGGGGGGGGGGGGACCTTTTGGGGAAAAGTTTGCGTTGAGTGAAGATTGCTGTTAAGTGTGATTTGTATTTGTCGGACCTCTGAAGAGGTGGCTTGTGTGCGCTTGCCGGACTCCGGCTCCGTTGTTGGTCTGATCTTGTTGGGGTTGCCTTGGTCGCGCCGCGTTTTTTTTTTCGGCTTTTTGACTTTGACCACGATCATGCCTCCTCCATCCGAAAGCGACACGGGCAGGCGGCCGGCCATGTGGGTCGTTTTGTTTTGCTTTCTTTCGGTCGGCGGTTGGTTTTAATACTGTCGGGGCGGCGTGCGGTTTTTTCCTGTTGTTTGGCGGGCGGCGGCATCAAGTCAAGCCATGCCAGGCCATTTCCGCCGCTTGCGTTTCGCTCCCTTGTCACAGAATATGATGCACACACTGTCAGCAGTCGGCATAAGAAAACGTGATCCTCAGCGGCGGCATTCAACTCGCGATGATGGTGGTGAACAAATACCCGAGTTTTATTTTTTTGTGTTGCTTACGTATCTACCTGCCTGTGACGGGTCTCGGTTGGTTGTGTTTTGCCCGTGTACATGTACGTGTCGGGAGTGGATGGAGTCTCTGCAAGAAGGATGTGGACGGCGCGGAGATGACAATTAATCGAAGCAACGGTCGGAGCGTCCCATCCATGTGCCATTTGTGTGAAATTTTCGTGCGATACAGCGGTCTGGGCGCAATTCCATGTCTGGTACGTCTCCCGGCAATGTTAATGTTCGACGCGCCAGCCGGGGTCACACAGACAGGAAAATGAAGGGCACCCACTCGATGTCTTTTTTATTCTCCGCCCTCCCCACCGCGGTGCGTGCCTTCATTTTCTAACCAGAGAAGGTGATTCGGCAGTTTTAATTCACCGACAGTTTTGCACTTTCCACGCCTAAATTCATGACGATTTTTTTCCGCCAGAGGTAATCGAGCCCACCAACTTGAGAGTCAGGTTACGGTTCCGAGAGGTTTCAACCTGGACCGCTGGTGCGACCGGTTCACCATGTATGCGCTTCTTTGTACTTGACGCACAGCAGTACCGCCGTTGCCAGGTCAATGACCTACAGTGTCTCCGCCACGTCGAGGTCACGAGTTAGTTCGCGCAACACACCGCGCGTATCGAACGGGCGTCGCACGTGTATATTTGGCTCGAACCTAAGGCGGTTCTTCTTCTTCTAATGATCACGATCTGATGGTAGCGTCGATGAAAGACACGCACACGCTTCCCTTCCCAGCACCAATCAATCGAAGAGGAGGTACACGGGTATTGACCTTACTCCCTCCTTCATCGTGGTTGCCACCGCTTTGCCTCCCCCACGAAAGGACAAGCAGGTTGCATCGGTAGGCTTCGCTGTGTGAGATCCTTCGTGTTGAGGTTGTTGGTCCGAGGCTGTGCTCGTGTACCGCATGTTCCCTGAATAACAAGGCCCGCCGATGTTGATGCTTACAACTAGTTCTGGAAACCTTGTTTGCGCACAGCATGCACACCAACTACCTTCTTTCTTGCCTCCTCTATTTTCTTTCGACGCCCGTTCACCCAAAAGTTTACCATTATTCGATAAAACCACGTGGGGCCCGGGTGCTCAGATCGCTACATACGCGTACAGAGTGCGCCACGCTGCCACTAACTGAGAAAAAAAAAAGAAACACAAGAAAGGACCCAAGCACCAAGAGCTTATTTTCTTCAAGTGGTAGCTGTTTCTTCTGTACGCGCACAACTTTTCAGAGATCAGCCACGCAGCTCGCACATACATGGGACACGCAACGGTATGTCAAATATTCGCCTTGGCTTTTTTCTGCCGTCTACATGGTCCATGCCTTCCCCAAATACAAGCAGAACAAAAAATGCCAGAGAACATGCTTCGCTTTGACCAACACCCAACAACAACCATGATGAAACATGAGAAAGATTACCCTTCTCCTGGTGTGCGCAAACCCCTCACAATTTGGCAGCAAGTCGGCTCGCAAAAATTGCCGTGTACAAGATGCCAAACTCACCAACCAACCGAAAAAGAACAAGGGGGGTGGCGGCATATTCGGATAAGGCTCCAAGACACCAGATGTCACAGTTGTCCGATCCGATCCGATCCGATCCGATCCGATCCGATCCGAACCCATATCATGGTTTCAGACTGTCCACAGCTCGAACGCAGCTATTGTAGGTCCAGATGGTGGTATTCTAGTCGTCCTTTGTGCTTGTGGTCGTTCTCGCGTAGCTCTATGGCATGTTACACAGTTTCCCCCCAAGATGCCGGCAGCAGACAGATCCGCACACAGGTGGACGATGAGACATACACACAGACAGACAGGCAGACAGACAGACAGACAGACAGACAGACAGTTAGGCAGATAAGAGAGGCAGGTTGAGAGCGTTGTGAGGATAAAAATACCTCCCCACAGTGGCTACGCAATCGACTCATCACGCAGGCATGACGGCGCCGGAAGGAGCACATCCAACACAATCAAAGACAAGTTGTTATCGTTGAGCCCGCCAGGGTGACCCTAGTATAATAGTTGTTCTCACGACAGCACACCACATAGGCTAGATATCAATTATTCTTCCGCTACTACAGTATCAGGTGCAGCACTCACCAACGCACATCCCCAACACAAGTACAATCGTTCAGCCGAAAAACGTTGCATTTCCTGCGAAACTTTAACATTGCGCCTACCAACAAAATGACACCCTACAGCAGTTGTGTGCGCCCTGCTACTTACATACCTGCATCTTCTGCTGCGTTCTTCTTTCCTCTGCCGCCCTGGCATCCTCCAGCGCCTGCGCCTGCTTCTCTGCTACCGACCTAGCCCTCTCGCGATCTAGCACGGCCCGTCGGTCTGCCCTGTTGGCATCGTCCAGCGATCTCTTGCTGCAGGTCGAAAAAAGGCACAAACACGCCCCGTACCGCAGCAAACACCAAACATGATATGTGATGATGCGGTCAACACCCAAAAAATGCGGCAGGTACTAGGCGATACAGATAGCATGGAAGGCGATAGATGATCCAAATGACGTTCGCGGTGGTGTGAATCTGTTGACCCAAGCATCGCACACCGTTCCCAGGTGAGTAAACAAACCTCCGCTTCATGAGACGAGGGAAAGGGACGCCTCGACCCTTCTCGCGGAAAACAGCAAGGCAAGCCTTGCAGAGAGGAAGAGAAGCGACATCTGTGGTTTCCTTGCTGTGTAGCCCCGGCTAGTGCGTCCAAACACACCGAAAGGTGCAAGCCTGGCGTCCAGAATCAACAGGATGGGATTGCCAACACGCACCCAACATGGCTCAAAGCGTCCATGTTCGAGCAGACAATATTGTCCAGAGGAACGACCCCGTCTGCGTACCCTCCCCCCCTCCAAATGGTCCAACGGCGAAGGCATGGAAAACAAGAGTACGCCCCCCCCCCTTTCCCTCTGCTCACTTTCGCCATTTCCGATAATGCCTCTTGACGGCGTCCTTGCAGTTGTACCACACGATCACGAGAAAAACCGCAGTCCATCCGTGCCGCGCCAGGATGTCAGCCACGAAGCTCACCAGCCTGTCGCTTGCCTCCTTCGCGGAGTCCACCCCCTCCGCCCACCCTCCGCCGCTGCCTGATGGCACCCCTACGTCGTCAGCGCCGGCCCCAGCGGAAGATGAGCCAACCGCTGCATCGGCTACGGTGGCAGCCATGAGGTCGTTGATGGTCAAGGGCGGTGCTGGCGGAAGTCTCGCCGCTTGCTTTCTCTAACTTCTGAGAACCAATGCCGTGTGTCCGTTGGACTAGACTGCTGTGAAACCGCACCAAGAGTAGATACAGCCGCCGGAGGATTAGACGTTTTGAAATAATGATCACATATCGAGGAAACCCCAAGAGCTGCTTCGTTAACTTAGCGGACGTACAAAACGTGTCGCTGCTGTCTGTGTAGCTATTCGTAGAGACGGCGTGAGTGAGTCTTACAGCATTAAATAGTGCATCCACAAGGAAGGTCGATTAGCATGACTGCTGCGGGATGCTTCATCACACCCAAGAGGACATTCTGCGTCCAGCGCTGCTGACGCTGAAGCTACCGTATTGGCGACACTGCTGCTAGGGTGGTTGCTCCAGAATAGTCACAACAGAGCAAGAACCGATGCAATCGATGTATGCCAGATGTCATCAAAACTCTTACCTTGCATCACAACACCCAGGTAGCGAGTGTGTCATCCGTCCCGACCGGGGACGAAGCAAGAAAAAAGCAACAAATCGAACAACCAAAAGACAGAGGAAACAAGGGTCGAGACGATGGTCACGGCCATGCGGCCTTACGGTTTAACCCCTGGCAGAATCAAACTTGCATTAGACTACACGTGGAACATCATGGGGGCGTTCTGGGTCCGCTTTATCCTCCTGCGGAGGAAATCATCATCCCGATGCCCCTCGATCGATCCATTTTTCAGAGCACGATTTGTCTGTGTGAAAAACGGCGACGGTGCCGAAAACGTCGGCGTTGGAACCCTTTCGCCGGGAGGATTTCCGAAAACGGATCCTTGATTGGGACATTGTCGTTTGTTGTGGAGTACATGTACAGTAATCGGGCTTTGAAAATCTGTCCAAGGGGTACGGTATCTCATGCACCCTACAGCGTTACTCCGAGACACTCCGAAGTTTATTATGGATCATTTTGACTTGAGAGGCTCCGCAAAAAACGAGTTTTGCCAACAACCAGCAGTGCTTCTTTTCGGGCAACTGTTGGACGAGCGCCGATGTACACTACCACACTACTGCTGTACCAAAGCCGTTCGAGAGTATCATACATCCGTGAAGCCGCATGCATCCGTTACAGGGAAGTGTAGGCACAAGAAATCAGATTGTTTCGCAGGAAACAGAAACGGCGAACAGCAATCCTCTGGCGAAAAAAATCAACCCGGTCGCACTCACCGCACAACACTCGGGCGCACAGGGAAATACGGCAGTATAACTCACGCGTCCTAGCCGCTCTGACCACGGACACAGCTCGCTGACCAGTGACTGTTGCTTTGAGTCGTACGAGGCAACATATGGTAAGATGGGGCTCCGTGTTGTCACAGTTGACTTTAAAGGTACCTCATTAAATTCACGAACCCCCGTTTTTTTTTTTTGTGCTCCCCCGGTGGTGTTCTTCTTCCTCGACCTCAAGACCTCAAACCACACCCAGCAGACCAGCTCTCTTCGACGCTCCTCACCCTCCTTGTCGGAGACACACAAGGCTCATACACCCTTGACATTAGAAAACACTATGAAGCTGACCGTGGCAATGGTTGCGGCCCTGTCCGCACGCGAATCCCTGGCGTTCGTGCCGTCTTTCAACGCTGTAAGATCCACGTCAAGTACGGCCGCTGCTCAGGGCAACATGTGCACGGTGCGCATGGCAGCGGGCATGGACCAGGGAGCAAGCGAGATGAGCTCGGTCCCGATGGGCCGCAAGCAGATGCTGCAGTCCGCTGCTGCTGCCGCGTTTGGGGCGGCCTTTGTCTCGGCGAACCCGTCCCAATCCTTCGCCGACAGTTCGGTCGACTACAAGAAGGCAAGTTGTAGGAACAGCAGCCGACGGCGGGCTTGGCTTGGAGGCACCCAACCCGCTTGCGATGTCTCCCTGCGACGGCTCGGATTTTGCTTTTGTGCACCAAGGGGTAGCAGCTGCTGTCGGCCGTAGAGGAGAGAGAGATCCCCGTGCCGTGTTGAGGAGGCATCGCAAGCTGTTCTGTAGATATCGCGGGTGTTGTTGTTGCACATGCGGTCAACGATGATGCACCACACAGAACAAAGGAACAGACACAAGCGCGCGCGGAGCGACTCTTGTGCTTGCAGCACGTCTAGACCAAGACAGCGGGTAGGGACAACAATGTTGCGGATGAATACATAGAAGGGTCGCGTGTTGTACAACTAGAGCGCGGGTTTGTGGAGCAGAGAAGGACGTCCTGAGGCGATGGTGTCTGAAAGGTCAAGATATCAGAGGATCAGAGGTGACTGCTGTGTCGAATTCTTATGTGACCGTTGATGGGTCTCTTCAACATCTAGTTCAAGTGGTCCGATCATCCGATCAATCCGATCAGATGATCAGATGTTAGGATCTTAAGTCTATCCCCCCGCAGTCACGAGTTAGATATCAGCAAGATATCAGACTGCTGTACGCATAATCCATGCACGTATGTGCAAGTTACACGTATCTATTGGTACTCGAGACACAGGGGATATAGGAGGGTTGGTGTGCCGCTCTTGCCAAAGGCAACGTCAACACCTTAACCCCTCTTGCAACTATCTGACGACCAACCTTCGGTGATATTTTCGCTGTGCATTCCGCGCTTCTTGTTGCGACAATGCCACGTTAGGTCCGGGCGGATATCGAGGGCATCATGGACAAGGATGGCAGCAAGGGACCCACTCTAGTCAGGCGAGCCTAGGAAACATAGTATAGCAGGTTGTGGCTGTGCTAGCAGGAGCGAAGTGTGGAAGAACATCGTAGAGATTACTAGAAATACCGTATTTCAAATACCTTACGGAGTGGTATTTCGTACCATGAACTGCGCATACACTGTTGTATGCGGCGGTACTGCTGTAACAGCGGACACACCAACGAAGGTTCGATTTGTTGTTTGCGTGTGTATGTATCTCGCGAGACCACTCCAAGAGTTAAGAATAAGAGTTTTGGGTGCGTGTCTCTTGTGAGACTCTCAAGTTCACAACAGCAGTGGTCTATGTGGCAACCATCCATGCCTTACAAGGTCGTGTGGTTGCTTCCGCTTCGTCGGAGGTATCGTATATAAAAACCACTTACAGGTACAACCGATCTAGGCTGTCCTTGCTCCTTTGTGGGCATCATGCAATCTTGCTCGTGTGTTTGGGCTGGTCATGTTCATGTCTTCTTTTGGTTGGTCACACTTTCGTGTCCTTTACATTTTTGTACAAACGCTCTACTGCCTAAACAGCAGTGTTGCAACAGACTAACACGTCCTCCTGTGTCGGCGTCATGTAATCTTGCTCGTTTTTGGTCTTGCATCATGTCTGTGCCCTGCTTTCTTGGTTGGTCACACTTGCATGCCTTTTCCATTTTTTTTGTTGTTGTTGTTGCCGTTTGTCTTCGTCCTTTGTCTTGTCTTGGCCAGGCTGGCGTGGCACTCTTCCGGAACTTACGACAAGATCTCTAAGACGGGAGGCTCCCAGGGTGGCACCATGCGTTTCTCGCAGGAGCTCGCGGACGGCGCCAACGCTGGCCTCAACAACGCCGTGGGGTAAGCACTTATAATGAGCGCTTTACAAGTAGACACATACCCTATTTAGCAAAAGAAGTAACACGTGTAGCAACCGGTTATTCGAACGAGAAAGTTCTGCTTGAAAATGACCAGTACAGCACAAGGCAAGCCCTTCTCCAAGACATCGAATACCCAGACAACTTCATTAAATGAGAATGAGGCGGGAGATACCGTGAAGCCTGGCAGCTAGATGTGTTGCGTCGGTTGACGACATCACTGGAGGTGCCTTGCTCGTGCTTCCTTGCCTTCGACGGCTGTTCTGACTCAAACGATCGACGGTAACAACTGCAATCATTTCCATCGAGAGTGTTTTTTATTTTCCTTTTTTGACACGCCTAGGTGTGCCATCTTCCAACCCCTGTGCCTCTATGTGCTTGTTTTGGTTGGACAGGTGGTTGGAGCCCATCAAGAAGAAGTACCCCTCGATCTCCTACGGAGATCTGTACACGCTGGCAGGGGTTACCGCGATTGAGAAGATGGGTGGCCCTACCATCAAGTGAGAGCTCACGTGCACGAAGAAACGCCGTAAACAAAAAAGTAAAGTAGAAGATGTTGTGCTTTTGCCCTGCCCCTACTTCGTGAACTCGGCAACCAGGTTAGCGTTGTTTTTTTTTACCTCTGTTTTTTTTTGCGGTAACCATGAATGGTGGTCGAGTAGATCATGTTGTGCGGGGTCGAGAAACCTCACTCCGCGCAAGGGGGATGATCGCACCACGTTGTGTTAAAATGGTCGAGCATCCTCGAGGCAGTTGCACAGTGCTTATAACTGTCTCTGGAAGTGAAAGCACCAGAAAATACCAGGAAATAGACTGAGTCATACGCAGCTGTCATTCGTACGCAAGGAAGTAAGCACAAGATGCCGAACACCCTTAGCAGGATGCAGCGCACCCTTCATGCGACTCGCCGAATACCTCACGGCGCTTCGCGCTTGGTGATGTGAGAGCCTGGCCCGGTGCGAACCCGGCGTGCTCCGTCCCGACTTTGTAGGGGTGCGAGGTCAATGGTCTAACGACTACGGCATGCACGACTATGAGTATGAGATGAGTACACCCTGCTGCTGTGTACCTTTCCCTATAGGTTGCAATGATCTCTGTTTTATTTTTTACTTCGGTGAGTGGTTCGCGCCCGAAACCTTTTGATTGGAAGCTTCCAGCGCGTTGTACTTTCCTTTTCATGACAAAGAATCTACCCCTATACGGCATGGCATGGCATGATTCCCATTTGATCTCTCTTTCTCTTGGTCTCTTGGTCTCTTGCTCCTGTGGCGGTTGCGTCGATGCTAAAGATGGAGGTCAGGCCGCAAGGACGATGATGTAGCAGCTGTGCCTCCCGGAGGCCGCCTCCCGGCTGCAGACAAGGGAAACCCCATGGCCACCGCTAAGGGGCTGCGGGACGTCTTCTACCGCATGGGCTTCAACGATAGGGAGATCGTGGCCTTGTCCGGCGCACACGCCCTCGGAAGGTACAGACATTTTGTTTTTAAGGGAAATGGACAAAATTGGGTACTCGAACATCCAGCGCGCGCGCCCTCCATAGGCGCGACCCCCAAACGACTAAAAACCCCATTCTGACACCTGGGCGACACAGCCAGGGACCATACACAGCACGGGCATCGATTTTTTCCCACTTTCAGGCACACCTTTGGCCCTAATACCGCCGATGCGCGCAAGGCCTCACCACAGTGCCCACTTCTGTCCGACATCGCGGTGGGTATACCCAGCGGCGTCAACTAATTTTTTCATGTACCCACTTGTGCCTGTATTTTGACCCACTTTTGTCCAAATTGTACCCACTTTTGTCCACTTACGGACGGCGGAAATCGAGCGGAAATCGACCTCCACGTCACCGCACGGCAGAAGATCGAATAGCCTCGGAACGTCTCAGAACCGTCAAAACCTCCCAACACCGTATCCATGGCATCTTCCCTATCCATGGCTGCCGACTGCGGACCGACCGCGGGATACCGGGTCGGATTTTCACTTCGTATATACAAACTGTAGTGCATATAAATACCTTCTTGTTTTTACATGACGTAGTTGCGTGGTAAGCTGCCTCGACAAGCTGTGTTGCTGCCCTCACGAGTCGGTGTGCACTCGTTGTGGTGGTTGTGTTTTTTGTGTGTGTGGCGCGTGCGTGTGTCTGTGTTGCTGTATGCGCGTCTTTTTGTTCTGTATGCGCGCCCGTTGGTTTTGTTGTCCGTTGTGCGTCACGCATTTATTTGTGGCGTGCCGTTAGTGCGCTGCTTGCAGGGCTTGCCGCGGGTATCTTCCCGTGCCGGTACCGAAGGGGTCTGGCATGTTCCTCCGTGGTCGGTCCGCAGTCGGCAGCCATGGATAGAAAAGATGCCATGGATACGGTGTTGGGAGGTTCTGTAGCATATACACGAGCCAGTTCGAGGGCAATCGCCAACTACCCTAATGCACGCTTGAGACAGCTAGCTGACGCTGGTCTAGTCTACGAATACGGTGGAGTGTTTGCGTTAGTTGAGCTTGCGGTGATCCTGTTGCCTCCACCGCCCTTGTCTCGGGTTTGCCTTCCTTTCCGTCCTGGCGTCACACACGGCACCGGTTACGCAGGTGCCACACTGACGCCTCCGGCTACGACGGTCCGTGGACGCCCACCCCCAACCTCTTCACCGGAGCCACCTACTTCAAGCTCCTCAAGTCCATCTCGTGGTCTGAACGCAAGGTAAATAGGTGGTGACCCGAATTAGCGGCGACTTCCAATAGCGGATTTGTCCATACAGCGGCATCGAAATGTTTTGTCACCAATCTCAACGCGGATGCGAGGGGCTGGTGGGTTAATTGAGCGTTTCGGTTTATTTTCGTTTTGTTTCTTTGTCTCTCGCCGGGGCGGGGTTGTCGAGTGCAATCCCTGAAGTCAACAGGGTGGTAGGAGCGTAAACCCCAAACGCGAATAAACTTTGGCAACACACTTGCGTTGTCCACTGGAAAGGAAATAATCGCCAGAACCGAGAGGAAAAGCATCTCTTGATCTATTGCACTAGGGAATGGGGGCCCTGCGGTCTGTAGCTGACATGTACCCGAATGGCCAGAGGGCCCGTCGTGTCATATCTACATAGATCGAATGCACCGCAACGTCTATGCATGGAACAAGACAAGGATCGTTTTGTTGAGTTCTTGAGGTTTAAATGGACGGGTGGAGGTGTACCCCACCCTTGACAGACCAGACCAGACCAGATCAACGCGGGGCACAAGCATGTGGTAAACGGTAAACATCATGCAGACAAGTACCGCCCCCTTGCGCGGCCCAAACTGCCCCGCTCTCAATTGTGACCTGCTGACGACAGGAGATTTTGTCTCGGTGAAGTGAAGGCATGGTTGGCACATGGGACGAATGTGCAGGGGGGCAACCGTTGCTGCCTGTTTCGCATCGCTTCCACGATAGAGCCAAACCTCCGCCCTCGTAGATACCTATCCGCGCTCTACGGCATGAGCATGCGTAGACACGACCACACAGCAGTGAGGAGAGACAAGCGCGGATAAGATAGAATAACTTGGCCGTGCTGTGTGTGTGCAATTCGTTTGCCCGGTCACATGCTGTGCTGGCCACTTTCGCTGCACTGACAAGTGTCGCTGGCTCGTCACAGGTGCTGCTAGTACTGTGATGCATAGCACGAATGTTGTCGCTACCGCGCGACCGTTTGACCTTCGGCCGCTGCTGCATTGCGCTACTGCTGTACCTCTTCTGACGCCGCTATTCACCCCCCTTTCCCGACTGTGTCACAGGACTTCACGCCTTTCCAGTACCAAGACCCCAGCGGCAGCCTGATGATGCTCCCGAGCGACATCGTCCTGCTGGAAGACAAGAGCTTTAAGAAGTGAGTGCATCGTACAGTTGGCGCGCGCGATTCAAAAGCAAAACTTCAAGAAATTGAGGCTCAGATTTGACGATAGCCAAGAAAATCGAACACACCTCAGCCGTGCATGCTACATTAAAGTCTACATAATGACCTATGCTTGGCTTGACGTTGATGACGAGAAAAGAAGTTGAGCCTCGACCACAAATTGACGGTTCTTCAGCGCAGGCGCTAAGCTAACTGTATGGGTGTTGACCGGCCTTCTACAGTAGTGTCAGGCCGTGAGCAACACTGTAGAATAGCGCCAAGGCGATCTTCTCATGTCTTACCATCGTGTATGGATTGCTGTACTGCTGCCGTTGCAAGTAGGACACGAAGCTTGCAAGGACAAAAGAGACGGTAGTATTATGTGCTGCCTCGCGCTCTTCAGGCATGTGGGAATGTATTTGGGTGCTTTTTTTCGTTTTCGCTCTCGATGGGACTGAGAGTTGGAAAGTGGGCGTTAAACATGTAGGTATATCCTGCACTCAGCAGGGACTCCAGTTGCAATTAACACAGAACCTCGGACTTTAGTTGGCAGCAGTTGTAAACGACGGTAGGACTGACGGGTTGGAGGCATGTTTGGCATGAGGCTTTTGGACATGGCCGCTGATGGATGACGCAGAACACTTTTCGCTCCTCGCTGTGGGGATATTTCTGTCGCATTGTTCGCTGGTACGTCAGACAGACGGACCCGTGCTACTTGTGCTCGAGTTTAAGCGCATGGTTGGGGGCATTGGTAGTGCTCGTGATGAAAGTATTCGTCGTTCAGTCCATGTGATTCTTCTCGGAACTAATTGTGACGTCACGTGTCTGCATTTTGTTCTTGCGTGTTTTTGTTTTTTTTTCTTGTGAAAATTTTCCTCCAGGTACGTCGACATGTACGCGGACAACGACAAGCTGTTCTTCGAAGACTTCTCCAAGGCCTTCGCCACCTTGCTCGAGCTAGGCACCAAGGATCTTGTTGAGGAATCCGCCTGAGCATCTCTTACGCGTAGGGAGGAAACATCGCACGGCTTTCGTGCCTTCATCGGATTGACCACGACCGGCTTCACCACACATGACTGGCTAACGTCGGTCGATGTAATATTATTTATCACAGTTGTTTGTTTGCTCTTGTTTTTGAAACACAAGCTATGAGTTGAGAGACACATGTCTCGTAGCAGCGGCGTACGTAGTTTAGATAGCTGGGTGACGGTAGTGTAGATACAATGTAGATTTATATGTGCCGTTTTTTTGGTTGCATCAGAGCGATGGTGTGTCGTGCTCTTACGAAAGATCAGGCTGGCGGCAGAAGCTGGAGGCGCTTGTTTCATGCTTACCTATGATATGCATAAGGTTGTGTCAACGGAAGGTTAAGCTGTTGGCCTCTTTGAATCGGTTGTGGGCGTGCTTATTCACTTCAAAGACAAGAAGAAAATAAACCCTGCCGAATGTGCGTGCATGGTGTGCTGGGTATCGTGCGTGCACAGTATGCATACCTTCTGCTCACATTGCACCGATGGACGAGACTAGCGCACACAACACACTGACAGCTTTCTTCACCGTTTTGCTCCGCCGTGGCGAGGTGGTGGTTGTTGACGCTAAGCCTCCTCTTCAAGACAGGCTAACGAGGCCGTGCCCAACTCTTGAGATGCACACACGGGGAGTCGGCCTTACGGGCCACCTTTTCACGTTTGTGTTTGTGCGCTCCAACCGCATGCCGCGCGAAAAAGTTATGCCGTAGCACCAACACACGTACCCAGTGGGACGGGATTTAACCGCCGCAAGATAAAGACGTCGGCGCTCTCCCAGAACCATCTACCAATGTTCGAAAAAAAGTAAAATTGTAAGTCCCCGTTAACGTGCGGGATACCCCCCGGCCCGCCACCTGACGACGGACAAGCCATCCCTCAACGGCAGCATCAGCACCTCCACCCGACCGTCCTCCTTGACGCGCTTGTTGAACCGGTCCAACGACTCTGCGATCTTCATCCTCCTAGACGTGGGCGCGAGCACGCCCGCTCCCACCGCCCTTGCTCCCTCCCCCCCCATCGCCGGCGGCGAAATTTCTTCGCCCTCCCCTGTTGTGGCCGTCGCCATGGCCTCGGCTAATGGCACCAGCTCGTGGAAGAGGACGTTGTCGGCTAGCAGCAGTCCCGTAGGGGCTAACAAGGGCCGTGGCCCGGAGAGCACCTTCTCAAGGTAGTCCCAGTACCTTAATTTTCGCGCGAAAGGTAGAAGAACGAAGAGGGAGGTGTGAACGAGGGTGTCGCGTGCAAGGCCGGAGAGGTGGCGTGTGCTTTGGAATCAAAGGACGTCGTGGGCTCAGGGAAGAGAGGGGAGGCGTAAAGGGATGAACCAAATACGCTCAGATTTCACCCTTGCCATCTGAGACCAAAGCAATGGAAGTTCGAACGGTCGAAAATGGGCTGCCGCTTGGGCTACGCGAAATATGCGGGATAGCAGCGCCTACATGCATCTTGACCATGTGTGTGCAGGTCGCGGCAGAGGGCACTTCATGGCAGCAGTAAAATGTGTTTGTTGTTGTGTGAGTCAGGAAGGATGCCTATCGATGTGTTCGAGAAAGAAGAGCAGCGATCACGGCAGCGGTTTGTTTCCTCCCCACCACCGTGTGTTTTCGAAACACTGACGACAATCGCCATCGGGTCGAGTAACCGAGCACCGCCAAGGACAACATCGTCATCAACAACCACGACCACACCACGCTACAACAGCAAACCAAAAAGGAGCAGCCAGAGCAATAACCGCGTCAGCCAGTGCATGGTCACAACCAACACTACCATCAACAGCGGCAAACAGACAATACCTCTTTTTGTCCGCGTCGATGAAGATGACATCAAACTGCGGGGGGTCTTCATCTTCGATCAACTTCCAAGTCGAGCCAGAGAATTTACGAGAGACGAGAACAAAAATCGACAAGCGATAGAGGCGACAGCATGCAAACGATTCGTTGTTGATCGCCGAAAACAGCATCACACAGGGAAGCGGAAAGAAGGCAAACATTCATCTCGCCTTCCAAGCAAGTCCCAACACTATCGGAAGGGATCCGTTTCCGGGAACCGCGTGGGTCCATGATGCTTCGGTTCGATTCTCGACAACAACGTTTTTCTGGAACGCCCTTCGCCACGCCTCACTTTGGTGCGAGATTGAAGGAGGTCCCAGTTGCGGTTGTGCTTCTGTATTACGCCAAAAAAAAAGGAAGAGCAGTGCTGGCTGGCCGGAAGTGGAAAGCCTACACTAATTCATCCCCCGGGGGGCGAGCTCAGGCCGGTAAGCAACACGAACTCATCCACAGCGATTTGGACATACGTGACCTAGGCACGGGCGGTCGGCGAATGGCAACGCAGTCACGCGCACACACACGGTTTGCGCGGTCGATGCTAATACAAAACACACACACACAGAGCACAATGCCCCAGGAGCAAAACGCACCCAACTGCCTGTCCACGCATACCTGATCGATGGTATCCATCGCCTGGCCGAGCAAGAGCCGGATCTTCTTACCGTCTCGACTGGAAGCGAAGTGACCTCTCGCGGTCTCCGCCGCTCTCGCGTCGGACTGGAGGACGAAACGACACGACCGGCACAACAAATGGCGAAAAGACCGATTGGTTAGGATCAACATGAGAACAACGCAAGGGCGCTGAGAGCTCCGCACTAGAAGGTACCACAGACTACGGTAGTTGCAGCAGTGCGGAAGAGCAATGCCACATCACACGCTGTCGAGAGTAGACAACCCAACACCTTAGAACATACGATCCGTTGAGTAACGGTGTCGCAATCGGAGATACCCTACAAAAGGCAGCAACACCGAAAAAAAGCGCATACTACGCAGTTGAACCTTATCCAACGTGTAGTGTCAACCAGTCGAACACACCCCTTTTTCGTCAAGAGATTCTAACTCTGGAGATATGAGCTCCCCGCCCTTGTAGCGAAACACACGCCTTCGCGGCATGGAAATCGGTGTGGCCTATACGCTGGATGGATACCAACCACGGTGTAAGATCAGAGGCTGTTGCTGTTGGCTAACCTCTAGAGTAACGACCACCCCGTCTTCTGGCAACGCCTCAGCGAAAGCCAATGCAGAGTAGCCCGTGAAAGTGCCGATGTCCAGCACACGCTTCGCCCCGCTTAGCCTGCATATGAAAGGGCCAAGGACATGGTGGCGTTGTCTTAACCTTTGCCACCCCATGGTTTCCGTTCGACAGCTTCAACCGTCTGCCCACCATGTGCAGCTAGTTGGTAAAATCTCCTGTCGACACTGACACTACTGCACTACCAAATGCGGAACGTCAGCCAGCAATGGGATATGCCGCTGCCCCGAAAAGGGCTTCAATTGCTGGGGTGGACAACACCTCGATGAATCTACACGCGACAGGGAAAGGCTGGTGGCCTCAGTTGCAAATCACAATCCCATCATTCCTAGACATCTACCAGCGTAGCATCGCAACACAAGCAACCTGGTGATGGCTATTGTGGGGGGGGGGGTTCGCGCGAACTAGTTGCTCACGTGGTCAGTAGCTTGAGCAGTTCCCCCTGCAGATGGCCAGACACCATGTGCGCGCCCCCCGGCTGCGCCCTTATTGGACCATGCGATGTCACCCAGGAGAGCACGTAGATATAGCGAGGTTGATCGTGAGAAAGAAGATCGCTAGCAAGGTTACATACATTTGACGATGGAAGGCGACCACGCTCTGCGACACATCCAACAGAAAAAACATGACATGTATGTGCAGAAGCAAGAGAGCGCACGAGATGTAGCCTATTCGGAAACACGCCCGAAACCAAATCAAAACTTTACGAGACTATCCATACGTTCGTACTTGTTGGTGGCTTCTCGGACGCCGGCTAGGCAAGGGGACTCCGGCTCAGAATGCCGGGACGCGTATTCCTCAAGCAAAAGCTCATCCGAAGGATCCTCTCGCTTCCGTTTTCGCTTGCCCTTGTCTCCGGTCCCCGCCACATCAACGCCAGCAGCGGACACGTCTACTGAAGCCCGTGACACTTCCGCCTTGTCATCCACTTTCACACCATTTTTTACAGGCTCCTGCCCCGGCAATGATGGTGATGATGACGGTGGTGAATCTGCTCCCGTACCATTTCGTCGAAAGTTTCCCATCCCACGTTCGGAGCATCAGCAGCGTGGCGGGTAACGTCTAGGTCAATAATAATGCCATTCAGAGGCGGCGACGTACCCCCGACGCGCCGTTATTTCTTCGCAGAACTCTCCGCATCTGCTAACGCTAGGTCACCATCCACACCCAGAGCTTGGCAAGCCGCGCTGCAGCGGGCTGTGCACTCTACCTTGCACCGATGGCACTGCGCAAAAGCTAGCCCCTTATTCGGGTGTCCCGGCACACGGCTAGCGTGGGCTCGGAGCCTCCCAAAGGGGACGAAAGAGAAGGAGATACGTCGCTGCAATAGGTGTCCCCGTATTGGTCACAAACTGCCTCCATCACGCCCTTCCCGCTATTTCTTGGGGCCGGTGGTGTGTTGCTGTCGTTGTGGGTACAAGAGAGGCCTACGTTGCGGTGCGCCGTTATGCGCTCTCGTGCAATATTATGCGCAGCCGTATGCATACCGATTTCGTTTCGACGACTGGTTGCCCCGCAGCCCTGCTGTCGCCTGCGTGTTCCTTGGCTGCGGCCGCCATGCCGTCGTATTCTCCCGTGCCGAAAGGTTGGTGTGAGTGCTAGCTCCCATCGTGTCCTGGTCGGGAATGTTGGTGTTAGTCGTGTGCATGTGCCGTGGTATGTACTGCGCTGTGCGTAGGGCCTGGGCGGGACCAAGGTTTGCCGCAAAGTGCATAAGCAACCGCATGGGCTACAACATGAGTCAATATTGTGTATTGTGAAGCAGGATTCAAATTGTGTCCGTGCTGGTGCGAGACAGCAGCAGTATAGGCACGTGGCATGGAATCATCCCAAACGTGGACGCCAAGCTTCCACACAGAAAAGAGCCGTTGCAAAGCTTCGTGTACTGCGGCAGCCCCGGTGCGACCGGAAGGCAGGCGGCAGTGCCGATTTCGAATAATGTCAACCACATGAACTCAGCAACGGCAAAGTCAACAGCATCAGTAGATCAGTACTGTGGTCTATCCAGTGTTTTTACAGCTAAACACACACAGAAACCCAGGCACCTGCTAGCAACGATAGATCAACAGTAGTGTAGCATCCTCCCCTCACATTGATTGCGGCCTTACGCTGCCACCGAACGGCCGAAACGCCGACCCCTGCCGCGCCACCTCTGCAAGCAGCAACACTTGCAAGGTGAGACGCCCAACAACAACCACAACACTTCTTCGCATCACCATCCTCGCGATGCAGCACACGGCGTGACAGTGAGCGAGAGAAGGAGAAGGAGATGAAGGAGACGAAGCAGAGAAGTCATGGGTCCGACGTCAAGCCCCATGCACTTCGACCCCGGAGCAGATAACGCCTCGCGAACCAAAAAAAGGTCTGGTTCTTTTTGAGCGGACAATTATATAGCGTTTCCTCCGCCGATTGTATCACCCACCACCCGCTACCACTACCCACCTCTCCTGCTATCTACTGCTGCATAGGGCCACAGCTTGCGAGAGAGGGGGAATCCGGAAAGAGCAAACGAGCCCCTGGGCAACATGGGAGACATTTGCGAGCTGACCGGCGATGTCGTCCGAGCGAACAAGAAGGTCCGATATGCTGCATCAGATCAGATGAGAGAGTCACACAGAACAGCGTTTACTGCTGTAGAGAGGACGTTCTTCGGAGCGTTCCTCGTTCTTCAGTCTCGTGTGTGTACAGCAGTGAGGCAGTATTCTACTTTGACCTAGCGAGGTGCAGCTGCTGGGTGTGCGAGTGTGCGATCGATCTCTTGGTGCTCCGCCTCCTTTTGCTGATGCCGGAGGACGCGCGTGTGTGCATACATGCCTTGATCGGGTGTGCAACAGTGGCTGTAGCCCGGCGCTCCTCGCTATATCGTAGACTACATGTATCTCCGAGTTCTTCTGAATGCCGGGATCAGCTTTTTCCCGGACTACTGCCGCGTTGCATATGTGTGCTGTCACCGTTGCGCAAAGCACGGCTGTGGGTTTGCATCGCCGTATCGGTCATGGACCCCGCACTCGGACCCTAGGCGTACCTACCGCTGTGGATACGTACCAACCTTTTTGTTACTCCTGTATTGCACTTACGGTTCGACCCTCCCTGCCTCAGGGCGCAGGAAGCTCGCAATGTATTCAGGCGCCACAACCTCACACTGCTGTCATGCTGTCCTACCCCGGGTGTTGGGTGCACTGCGGTTCACCCATGCTACTAACTGTACTGTACGTTGGGACCCGAACCAACCCTGTCTGAAATCGACTCATCCGGGAGATCCACGCGGCTCCTGCTACTGCTGCTGTAGGAGCCTGCCTCAACAGGGTCCCTGTAGCCTATGTACTGTAGGCCGCACGTCACTATGATCAAAGCCAAGGGATTTGGCTGCCCCAAGACGTGCACCATGTGTTTGTGTGTCACATGGTCTCACTGATCTTGTACGGAGCCATGGGCCTTATTTACGCGGCCTTCCACGGGGACCATGGCTGGATCAACAGCGTACATGCGTGTTTGCTACATGCATGTACGGGTGCTGCTGGCGACATGGGATTAGAGCAGGGAAGCCTGTAGAAGTCGAAATGAAACAATGAGACTAGTCAACCCATTCCCCTGATTCCAACTCCCTACCAAGGACACGATCCTGGGGCGTTCGTTTCTTTTGCTGATCGATTCTGAAGCCGTCCGTCCCTCCGACCGCCCCTCGTCACCGTCACTACCGGTCTACATGCACTGCTGTGTCTGCAGGCCACCATCATGGTGGTTCTCTTCGTCCTGCTGGAGATTCTTCTTTTGGCTCCGCCGTACGGGAGCGTTGTGCCCATGGCCGCGGGATTCGCCCTGATGCTGGTCGTTGCGGTGGTGAGACTTGACGGGACAATCATGGTCTATTCCCGTCGGCACTTGGGTTCCGCCGGCAACTTTCCCCCCCCTTAGCTTCGCACACTTGTACTTGTGTAGTGGTTCTGCGATACAACCCTCGCCTAACTCCCATGAACATCATCGTGCAGCAGCGTAGCTCAGCCAATCAGCGGTCGTAGCCCAGAGAGATATGCACTGTAGATTCCCCCGCTTCCCCTTCCGCGGGTGTTCGAAGCCGAAACGCGAACAGCTCGTGCGTGATACTGTCTGAAGTGCTTGTTGTCATCTCTCACGCGACCCCTGTCGTTGTCTTTGCACGAACCCTGGCCCTTTTGTATGGCCACGCGCATCACGAACTGTGCTCTGGGCTCCGGTTCTACGTCCTGCAGGCGATCCTCAACCGATACATTTGGATCCGAATGTAAGCATCACTCCACCAGGAGCGTGCACGTTGTGTCCGTTCTGATCCCAGATGCAGTGGAGACGTCGTGGGTTCCTTTCGTAGCTGCGTTGGTTCAGCACGCAGGCACTCGCGATAATGCAATCACACTCGCTTCCCTTGCGGCGTGCTACAAATGCCTCTGTCGGTCACTTTTCATCGCAACAACTTTAGCCGCTGATAAGCATAAGTACTTCCCCCGCAGTTTTTCTTTCTTTTTGGGGCGAATTCGTCGTGTCTCGTTGCTCACTGTTGTCGATGTTACACGTTACTCGGAATAGTTTGGTTCGACCTGTCATACTTGTACACGTAGGATGCATACGCTTGGTCGTCTTGCCCTACTCCTGCTGCGAGCAATGTGCATAATTCAATAAACAATTGAATCATTTTCTCCTTGCTCGTTTTTTTCTTCTTATCTGCGTGCTGAAGGTTCCGCCCTATGCTCCAGCTCGCGGGAATGCCGCCGGTGAAAAGGGGCACTGGGGAATGCTGCTGTTGCTGCCTCTGCCGTAAGCAGGACAACCGTCAGGTGCGCCTTGTGTCTTTGTGTAAATAAACTGCGATGATCTCTCTCTGGCGTTGCTTGGTTGACGTCGTTATTCTCGAGAGGTTGGGGTAGTATGCAGTACTAGACTGTATAACATTGTTCGTGTGGATATTTGTTCGGCAAAACCCATGTTTTTTCGATTGGCTGGCTTTGGAAAGTTGGTTTGGTTGAGGGGTGTTTCTACTGTGGTGTGATGGAAGATTGGCTCCACGCTTTTCGTCATCCAGGCGTATTTTCAATGTGTTTGGTGTGTGGCATAGGTTGTATCGCTATTTCGTTTTACATCCTTCGCCTGCCGTCATGTGGTTCGTTTGGCTCCCGCGAACTTACCAACAGGTCCGAGCTCTCAGAGCCCTGTTCGTGTTGGTGTTGGTAGGCATCTACGCGATTACGCTGTCGGCCGTGGCTCTGGAGCAGCTTGTGGGCACCACCAACGGCAGGGACCCGCACCCCTGGATGTACTTCAGGTATGGCATACCACCTTGTTGTCGGGCGTCTGGGCCGACACATTATCACCCCACGGTTTTGTTCTTTTGTGAGCATCGTCCAGCCTCTCGCCATGACACGCGGATGCCTAAATACCTATCGCAAGGCCTATCTTCTCCATGGTGGAGCGGTGGTCGCACGGAAGGGTGACGTTGTAACGCATGCCATCAACAGTTTTAGGGAGGGAGGGAGGAGGACTATAAACCTTCGTCTTATGCTCTTCGACGCTCGAGTCACACAGTGTGCTCTTCATCAAGCGACTTCAAAACATTTCACGCTAAGGTCAACTGTGGGAAGTTATCCGATTTTCTCCCGATACTCCTCCTGGACCCGTTTGAGCTCACAGCGCTCCGCGTCCAAGCTTGAAATGTGACCAAACGTTAGCAGAAACGTTTTGCCGTAGCCCCAAGGGTTTCGCGTTCGTTCGCGCCATCCGTGCTCCTTGCCGTTTCTACGCTGACTTCATGTAGCGCATTCTTCCCATCTTACAACTGCTCTCGCGTCGTCACCGTGCCGCGTCAACCAACCCTGCCTTGCCGCAGCTTCCAGTTCGCGGGAGCCTTCGTCCTCCTCATCGTGTCGGCCTGGTTCGTTGACATCTTTGTCATGACATTCCGGGTTTCCCGATACCTGTGGGGACGTTTCACGAAAAAAGGCGATCAGGCCGCCGCCGCCACCGCCACAGGGCAACAGAAGTTTGCGCTCCCACTGTTGGCGTTTCCCCTGATGTGGCTGGTGGTGTTCGTGATCCTGGTTGCGGTGGCTTCGGTGCAGGGATCGAGGGACCCCGTCACGCGCACGGTGGAGGTGAGAGTTGGAGGTGGATGGCGAGGGGAACATGGGCGAGGGGAGCCTGCCACTGCTGTTCTCGGTAGAATCTGTTCTGTTCCTCTGCTCGATACACGAGGGGGGGGTGTTTGGAGTTCATGCCCGATACCGTCCGGCGGCACGTTTTGTATGTCTGCGCTTAGTGGTAGCCGTGTATTGATGGCGTTACGGCACCCTATTGTAGTATCATGCGATGTCAATCCCGCAGTCACGTTGTTGCTGCTGCTGTTGCTGTTTCCTTCACGATTCTTATCGGTCCGATATCTGCTCAGCACCTTGTAGCATCCGAAGCACTGGTCCATTTGACGCGGACATCTTTCCGTGGTCACAGGCTAACTTCCCCGAAATGGCGTGCACTACGAACAATCAGAACACAGTATCTTCTACCACATTCTGTTTCTTTTGGGAAGGACCGTAGTTTTAAAGGTGTTTTTGGCATTTGTTTTTCCTGATGGTGACCTCCACCTTTGAGCGCTTGGCTTGTTGTCCGATCTTGTTCCAGGTGCCTTTGGCGAATCTCCCGGCGTGCCTGGACGGTTACAGCCTAGCCATGGTCAGCGATCTGCATGCCGGGCCTACCGTGGGCAAGAGTGAGGTGAGATGACGTCCACGCATGCTGCTGCGCCGTGGTCTGTTCTTGTGGTTGTGATGCTACTGTTGGCTGCGTTGATCAGAGAGTCAGGTGGGACAGAGTTGAGACGCGAGCAATCTGGGGTGTACTGGTTAGGCAATCAAGCATGGTTGTGATACAGCATTTTGGGGTGTTCCGAAGCATCCTGTGGCCCGATCGATCATGATTTTCTCCGCTCGTCCTGGGAAGTGTGGGTGTTTCAAGTCGGCGTTCGGATCGCGTACCAGATCCTCTTCAATAGGTTCACAACGCAAGTTTAGTCCCGCACAAAGTGGTTTGGGAAACCTTGACCTTCCGAGAGGCCCCCGCAGCGCGGTTTCTAGTTTGTGCACCGGCTTGTCATGATGATGACGATTCACATCACGACGTGCCCTAATGTACAGTCGCACGTTTTGCGTCTAAGTAGCACGTTCTGCGTCTTAATGTCAGCATGTACACGAAACCCCACGGCATGGACATGTTCGGCGACGCCGCGGATACTCAAGACACCCGAAGCCCCATACGGTTGGGATGTGGGGTGCGCAGCTTGTGCCACTACCTCACGATCCTGATACACTCACGTATGTTTTGGCGGCAACGCAGATGTCTAGGCACGTCGAAGCCATCAACGCGCTCGGCGCGGACGCCATCGTGATGGTCGGAGATCTCGTAGATGACCAGGTGGAGGACATCGGTTCCATCGTAGATCCCATTTCGGGCTTCAGCGCGCCGGACGGTCAATTTTTCGCTTATGGTGAGTTTAGGACACAACCGGCTTGCCAATGTACAAACGGACGGATGTTGTGGAATTGCCGTAGGAACACGCATATGCATAGATCTACGTCGTTTGCGTTTATATTTTCCACCCTATGCGTAGAAGCGTTGGCGTATTCCTTGGTTCGGGTTTTGGGTTTTTGAAAGGCACTCTCATTCTGCTGCCCCGCTACTCTTACTGCAGCCAGGTTGTGATTCCTGCCGCAAGCTTGTCATTCCTGCAGCAAGCTTGTGATACGTACACGTGTGCCCGTGCTCTTTTGGAGCCTGCGTAAACCATAGCTATTTTTTTTGTTTTTCGGGCGGTGTGTATTTTTTGTTTTGTGTTGCGGAAGGCGTACAGCACTACGGCCTCATCGGAGGCGTGGCAGGGTTGAGCTCGAAGGGGCGACTGCTTCCTCTATTATTGACGTTATGTTCAGGATTTCATCTTCGATTTGGGTCGGTTCAAGCTGTTTCGTATTGAGGCACCCGGACGATCTCCTGCAAGATTGCGGGTCGCCTTTGGACCATTGTCGTGATAAATTTCTCATAAATGTACCTGGAGACGTGGAACAACCAACGCTATCGTATCGTAGGTGTATCTTGTGGTGGGGGAGGATTCACGCCATCTCCGATTCTTGTTTTGCTTTTGGTCCCTGAAGAGCACCCCGTTGTGTTGCTGGGCACGGCAAGTTGTGTCATGGCTCGTTTGTGAACTAAATCCTTCTTCTTCCCTGTTTTTCCGGTTCGTTTTTGCGATATGTGGACATGTGCTGCTGTAACCGTAACTTTGTTGCCAGGGAACCACGAAGAGTACACCGGACAGGCGAGGAAGTGGGGAGAGTTCGTCGCCGACCGAGGCTTCACAGTGCTCAACGTGAGACATGCATTGCACCAGAGGCACCCGTGCGGTTTTGTCCTCTTGTTGTTGTTGTAGCGTAGGCCGACCTCCGTGTCGACTAGGTTCCTGTGGTGCGGGTGATTGTATTGGCACGCGTTCGATCATATCACAGCTGACGTGTCGTAATACTGTACTATTTTGAGTCGAAGACAGAACCAAAGAAGAATAAAAGGGAATTGCGTGGAAGGTGTAAGCGGCCGTCTTTTCTTGGCACGCTTCCCATGCTGCTGCTGGACCCCCATGCCCCATGGCCGCAGGACACGAGAATCACCCTTCCTCCTGGTGCAGAGACCGCTAGCACTAGCAACAACGAGGGCTGCTTCTTCTACCTTGCCGGCGTGAACGATTACGAGTCTGACCCTCAGTACGGCCCTGCGCTCGACGGGAGGGATGACTCCGTAGCCACAGTGCTCTTGGCTCATGAGCCCATACAGGTGGGCAAAACGCTTTGTTGTTGTTGTTGTTGCCACCACCGCTCTTGTTGTGCGATTTTGGCCTCAAGAGGTTTTCCGGAGTGCCTGACGAATCGCATTTACTGGTGATTTGCGGTGGGACGTGTTCACTGCGAGAGAGAGAGAGAGAGAGAGAGAGAGAGAGAGAGAGAGAGAGAGAGAGAGAGAGAGAGAGAGAGAGAGGGATACCGGGGTATTGTTCTTGTCTTGAGTTGGATCAAATTGGGAGCACTACGGCGGTGCTAGCACCGCGTGACGCGGCGGTCCGGGCGACGTGTGTTTCATCCATTCATTCTCTGCGGCATGCTCGGCGTGTCTTTTGCGAAGAGCCTGACTGACCGAGATTGACTATTGTTGATAGCCTCGCAGACTCCCTGCTATATTCTTTTGTGCCATGTGTCCCCCTGTTTTAGTAGAAGTATATGTTTTCGCGCCATGTGGGGCTTGGTGTTCGATCAGCTGAGGATGGTGTCGTCTGGATACCGTCCGTGCCGACCATTTGTGTCATCTAGTGATGACGTCAATGATGGCGTCACACGCAACTCACAGGCTACCAAGGCGAAAGAAGGAATAAGCACGTCAGTATCACCCGAGCTTTAGTCCTAACCATGTGGGTTCATTCAATCATCTTTCTTCTTCCTGTTGGGGTTGCATTCGGTGATAAAGGGACGTTCAACACAACTCGAACACTATTAGGTCTCCATGCTGAACCCTACGCCTAGCGAAGCTTTGTGTACCCCCGGCAACATCCCTACAATCCGTGCCACGGCGTGGCCTTGCCCTTGTTAGGTGAAAGAGGCCTCCAAGTACAGCTCGGTGGGCCTGCAGCTCTCCGGCCACACACACGGAGGCCAGGTCTTCCCTTACCACGTTCTGGCCTACCTGAACCAGGTACATTGTACAGCAGTATATTGGAGATTATCTCAATACTCTCGTCACCTGACAAGATTCCTCGTCTCTCGCAGGACGAAGTCGCGCGGGTTTCCTTTGGTATTTGCCGCGTTCATCTCCGTAGGGTGTTCTGATTGGGTTGGTACAGCGACAGATGAGTAGTCTGTACAGGGCTCGGGATTACAGGCGAAGGGTTTCGATATTGCGCGTCCCGTATAGTATCAGTAGTATCAGTAGTATCAGTAGTCGAGGTGGAGACACCCCGTCTGTGCGCGAGATGTGTAGTAGCGTTGCCATGAAAGCTCATGTTTTTTTGGTTTTCTGTTTGTTCTCGGATTCGGATCGATCACCCACGGATTGATTCAACCACGACCGCACGTTACCCTTGGCCACGATGCGATCCACACACAACCCAAACAGACCTCGCTGCTGCAGTCATGGTAACAGCGTCCCTACGTACATTCTCTTTCTCTTGTGTATGTCAGGGATATGTCTCGGGCCTGCACAAGAAGAGAGACACGTTCCTGTACGTGTCGGAGGGTGCGGTGGGCTGGGGTCCTCGCATGCGTCTCTTGTCCACCACTGAGTACACCCTCGTGATACTGAGGTCACCCGAGGTGATTGGCGCTACACGGAGTCTTGATTGTTGACGGCGACCGATTTCGGCCAGGAACAAGTATTCTACATGTACCCCTGGAACATATCGCCTCCACTCCCCCCGTCCTTTTGTTCTGGGATCGTGTGCGCACCTTCTAGAGGACACACGCACGAACCCTCTAGCCAGTCGTCCACGCAGGGTTTTTCGGTTCGGTATACATGTTGGATAAAGCATACAATCGGGGGAGTTGGGTCAGGGTTAGGGTTCGGGAATACGGTCTGCGTCCCCCCTCCCTGTTGTATTTTCTCATTAACTAATTACTCTCGCGAAGGCTGTCCCCTCTAGAACATTGAGTTATGGACCACTGTTTGTGAAGCGGAACAATCAAGACGCGGAAAAATGGGCTGAAACATTTCCGTAGATGCTGTGATTGGTCGCGCCCACGATTCCATTCGTTTTGAGAGACTCAGAGACAGGCAAGGGCGACGGTGGGACGAGCAGCATGTGGCGGTCGGCGGTTACAGCGAGAGTTGCTGTTGGGCTAGAAACTACATTACACCGGTCAAGATAACAGTGAACGCCAACACGCAGGCTAGCAGTCGAAACCCTCGCAACTCATCGAGTTGGACGCATGCGACAAAATTACCAAACTACGCTACGACTACTTGCGATAGAGACGGACTACGTCCGATAGTGACGGTGACCACTGTATCTATTCCCCCCGCAAAACTGCGCAGCTGTTCTCGAACGCCGACACGAGCGACACAGAGTCCACCAGAGCAACAGGCGCGGCCGGTGTCCTCCTTCTGCTGAGCGTACTGTACTGCCTGGGGTATCCCGTGGTGAGGGCGTTTCGAAGAGCAAAGAGTGGGCAGGAGGACCCCGAAGGACGTGAGGAGTGGCGTTCGAGCGCGGCCGCTGTTGCGGCTGGTGACTACGCGACCTGATGGCCGAAGAGGATTCTTCTACCTAGTGTTTGCACGTCGGCAGACTGGGAAAGAGAAGGGGTGTGGAGGGGAAGAAAGGCAGGGGATGCGGGGGGCAAGGTTTAGAGAAAGAGAGAGAGAGAGAGAGAGAGAGAGAGAGAGAGAGGGAGAGGGAGACAGACCCACACACCTTGCGTGTGTAACGGGGGGGGGGGCACACGGGGGATGATTTTTCAGCCGATGAAAGTTGAAAGCTAGCGTTGATGTGTTGTGTACAAAGTGTTTTTTCATTTTTGTCAGTCCGTCGAGAATCACCTTGCACACCGCCGTTTGTGCAAGAACACCTGCAGTACTGCGCTAACGTGATCGAGTGCCGCGTGTTCTGGTAGTATATTGTAGGCTGCGTATTGTTTTAATGCGCGTTGGGTTTTGTCGGGTAGGCCATGCACACTGCGAGCAGCCTAGATTGTGTTCCGTTGTTCCACACCAACACGAGGGGTGGAATACCACCGCCGTGATTTCCATTGTTTGTATTGCTCAAACGTTTAGAGGAATCACCGGTTGGTTGTATGTCTTGAGGAGGTGTTGCGCTGGTTTAGGCGTCGCGAGAGGTCGCGGTAGGACGTTGTGGGCTAGTGAGGTCCCAGAAATCAAAGCGCTAAACACGGCTGTTTTCGTGTGTCGTGTGTTTCTTGTTTTTTTTTTCGAGTTTTCCCTACGTCTGCCCCCCGTTAGTCCATTCTCCCGATGTCGTCATTCCGACTGCGTTTTCTCGATCGACGTGAGACTTCTTCTCTCTACTTGCATGACATGAGTAATTTTCGTCAGATGGTAAGAAAGAGGGCCATACCCTGCTCTCGTTATAGAGATAGTCTAGTCTATTCCCTGAAGTTTTCTTTCTCGAGTACATGTATTATGACCTCGGGGCCGTTGTCGTTCGTTCGCTTGGGTACAACGCGACACGCTTCCTTTCCAGGAGGTTAACAAGAAGAGGCCTGCCTTTCCTCGTTTTCAATCGCGAACTTCACGCCCATGTGAGAGTTGGTGTAAACGTTTAAGTACTACTTTACTGCGGCTGCGTTTTCAGTGGTTACAGATGAAGTGTTGCCACCGGTAGCATGGGGTCAGGACTGTAGATTATTCCCCAAACTTGCGATCGAGAGTAGAGAACAACAGGGAGTGTGTAAGTTCGTCCCATCTAATCTGACGCCGGTTTACAGGCCTGTGTTACGGTAAAATGTTGTTTGCTATGGCCGTGTCGTGTTGCAGCGTATGTGCGCCAGCACCGAAAGACTCGTGGCGTTGTCGAGTGATATTATTGGATTGCCCCCAGCGACCAGCTGTTGCAAAGGCGACGCTGGCCCATAGATGCTCTCTCTTCATGGCCCTGTTGATGGGCGTTAGTACAACAGGTAGGTAATTGGCATTTTTGTCAACAATGAACGAAAAACGTCGGGCGTTGGGGTCAGCAAAACATCGTGTGGCCTTCGATGACGTCACTGTAGGTATGCATGTACGTTAGTCTGGGTTAGGGTTATTTTTTGTTTTGGCCAAGACCGAGAGCTTGCAGCGGTGGGGTTCAGCAATGCGGTCAATATATCACCAGCACAAACGCGGTTTCATGGAGGAGTTATTGTGACTGTTGTCTTTCGCCTGACCTCGGGGGGTCTACCACGCCCGTCGTTCGTGTGACTTTGCGGCATGTTGCTGTGATGATAGCGCGTTGGGTCAAAGGCATGGTAAGGTCAAGGGTAGACTATTGCCAGACAAAACAAATAAATGCAACACATGCAATTAAAATGCATCCATTCGAATGCCTTGTGAACAGAAGAGGACTAACAATGTACGTCCGCCTCATTCTCGCCTCCCGGAGAACGGGTAGGGCAGAAGAGTAGGAGCAAGCGAGCGTATCCTGTTTGGTACGCTCGCTCCTCTATTCATTCCAGATGTAGGACCACGAAACACGCCGTTCACTTGTGCCCCTCTGATGGCGCCCCCTCCCCGCAATCGCACGATTTGATCCTTTACTTCAGCGTTCCCTCGGCGTTGGTGTACTGTAGTTGTTGTGGTACGCATAAAAAGTTTCATTCCACCACCAATGGGATGAGCAAGAGACTTGGTCGACTGAGCGCTCCGTCGTGCTAACGTCTGACCACAGTTGTATGTTATATTCAATGCTCTCTTGGCAGTGACATTTGCCGAAGAATACAGCAGAGATACTGTAGTCTGGTCTATGCATGCGCCTTGAGTGGAAGTAGGAGGATCGCCCATAAGGGCCCTGCTACCTACATTTGCGGGCCCATCAATCTTTGGACGTCCCCTGTGTTTGTTTCAAGTCTTGAGTGTCTATGGCGGGAATGCATGTTCTATGCCGTTATCGAGAAAGCACAACTGCAGCAGGTAGTTGGTAGCTTCATGTGACGAAACTTTGCAGGTCTTAGCGTCGCATTTGGTGTGCAACGTGCAACGCGAGTGCATATTACAATTATGTAATGAAACCGTCAAGATCGAAGCGTGCGAACGTACGTATGTACTGCTGTAGTGTTGGACGTTGCGGGATCGTGGGATCGTAGATCGTACAGCACTGTAGATGGTAGATCGTACCGTAGATCGTAGATCGTGGAATCCTGCCAGTAGAGAGTAACGGAGATGCGAGGTGCGATCTTTGCACAACACTCCTTTGCACAACACTCTTGTGGCGTCCAAAGCAGCTACAATGCCGGGAAGCCTTAATTACAGTCCTAGTGGGAGTGAAGGAGGGAGATCGCTGGGTGGAGGAGATCTTGTTGGGGTGGACCTGACGAACACCCCAGGCAAGCCACCAATACTGCTGTTACATAGTACTCCATTCCCTACACGAGGCGAACCACCTATTTGCTGTTCTGATCCATGTATGTATCGAGATACCGGTATCACGCAGCATTCCGTCCTTGTCTCTTCCCGAGCGTCAACCTGTGGTGGCCACCTCAATCCAACGTTCTCTCGTACGCCCTGCCCTCTCCGTTTCACACCCACCACTGCCAATCCTGGGCTCTCCCTTTCACACCACTGCCAATCCACGTAGAGTTGGCAGCAGCCCCTTCATGACAAGTTTCCGGGCGGATTTTCAGTACAGTCTCGAGGTTCCCCCCCAGTTCCATTTTTTTATCCACATGAGCGCCACTAGAAGTATCTTCACTCTGAATGCAAATAAGTGTACTCTCGGAAGTAACTGGAAAGTCGCCGCACTTCTCGATATTGCAGTACCCCCAACCCTACCAATTGCTCAAGCTCGCGTGTTGGTAAGCCATTATTGCTTGCATGGAAGCTCATTGATCGAGGACTATAACTTGCTTGCGCCCATGGCTTATGGAGGCCATGATCTATGACATCCTCTTAGAAAATTCTACCCTAAAGAAACAGCGGAGAAGAGCCCGTGGATGCCCTACCTTTCAGTGGTATGAGTTGTGTTGTTATAGTATATATACTGCGCCGTCTTTCCCAGAAATATAAACTAGTTGTCTTGAGGTCAGATTTGGCTGGAAATAATTTGGCTCTGGCTTTCTGATCCGATGAATAGGAACGGATGGCACAACTGTGTTTCAACTGCTGCTCCCCTCTTCGTATTGCACAGGAACGACTCCGTTGAAATGGAGGAAGAGAGGCAGCAGCATTGGCAGTGGAAGGCATAACATTTATGCCGACCGCGCTGAGGACGAAAGTTCTCCGACTACGACAAAGCAAAATGGACCCGCCAAACTGAACTCAAGAGTCCAGGTATGCGGAAAAGGAATTGCATCCTCCACTCAAGCACATCTGCTCCGTCCAATTCGCATGCGACCCTCGACTTGACGAATACTTCTGTTTTCCCCAGTTGGGATGCTTGACTGATTTCGGGACAATTCGGTCGCTTCAATCACACGGCGACATGTACTTACTTACCTTTGAAAACTCTCGTCGAGGCACACCCAACGCTGCCCTGGTGCACTACGTGGTGCACGGATTATCCTGGTCGGTTTTGGCGAGTTTAGATGCCATGCTGTACGTACAACATCTTGACTTCCATGTCCAGTCTCGCGGCTGGTACTGCATCCATCCAAATACCTTCGAAAGCTATCTACAAACTCTTGCCTAGCCTCGTGATGAGGCTCGCACCTAATGCATGCATGGAACAAAGAAGACTCTACCCAAAGATTTCTTTGCGGTGAATAACCAGGCCAGCGACGAAGTCCAAGACCAGACACATCCGGGCATCGCGACAAGAAAGCCGTCCTGGGAAGTGTCCAGAAGAAACGACGTCCCTTCCGCAACGGTCGACGACCCGGCGGGATTTGTGGAAAAACCTTCTGCTTCCAGGAGCGTCGCCAAGGGGGCAGCCGGCAATACCACGGCACGTGATCCGTCACGAGGTCAAAAGCCGCCTTCGTCGGGCCAGTCTACTCCACGACGCCCATCCTTTTCGTCTTCCTCGACTGTGTCCAGGGTGCTTGAAGGGGTTACCGCAGACCGAAGGGTGGATACGTCGGACGGCCAGCCTAGGCTTGCAGCACGCTCCTCTGCGGAAAGTGTTGATCAGGCCTCCAACGGGTCGTACCCAAACGGGCAAAACCTCACGCACGGTGAGCAGTCCCGCAGCGAGGCCGGCGACGGGGATGTTGATTCGCTGAAGGAACACGGTTACGGGCCTAGTCTTCAAGAAACCTCCACATCAGCACCCTCCATTCTTGGGGATGAAGGTGTGCCCGATTCTCGTGAACGCGCCAGAAGTGGACATCCTGGAGGCGATGAGGATGGTGTGGAACATGTGTTTCGCGAGCAGGACGATCAACACCAGCGGCACCCGCCCCGTCATTTCTCGACACCGTCGCCACCTGCGTCAACTGCCGCTCAAGAAATAGCAGCCGCCCTTGTAGAAGGAACTGGAACACCTAGGGGTGAGAACGTTCCGCCCGACGAGGAGGCAAAGAGGGAAGGCAACAACAAGGGCACCAACGACAATCCTCCGGGAGAACACGGCGAGGCTGCAGAGCAGATCAAGGGCAGTCGATTCCGAGACTCGGGGTCGCCCAATGTGGAAAATACCGCAGTCCCCACCACTGAGCGCAGAACGTCACTGGAAACAAGAAGTCGGAGGGCAACCGAAACCGGCAGTGTGACCGAAACGGCAGGAGGCGGTAACTTCACAAACACACGGCAAAGCGAGTCGCCGGATATCACGACTGCGGCGGACTCCGCACTCTCCGACGGCGATTCGAACAGTGAAGATGGCAGATCTAGGGTCGTGCGGCAGGTTACCACAGGCGAGGAATGTCACGATGAGGACACCTCGAGGAGCAAGAACCGGAGGGATAGATCGGGGTCGGCGGAGGGATCGGGTACAGCGGTTGCGGAAGAGCCGGACTACGTCGCCCAACAAGAGTCCGAGAAGCCTGTTCTTGTAGTTGGAGAGAGCAGCCACAGCACGGACGCTTACCATCACAGCCGGAAGTCCAGGAACAGTCGCACCGGCGAGGGTGGGCACCATGAGGAAAGTCGGCATCAACCTCAAAATGATTCAAACGTTGCTGTCAATGGTAGGCCCGGGCTCCCTTCGGACAAGCTTTCAGAGGACAGCGAGGTCAGAAAAACCAAGCTACCGTCTTCATCGAACAACCGGGGGGTGCTGCAGTCTCCGCCAATGTTGTCTCGTAGGAATGCAAGAGACACAGCAGTGTCGGACCGAGAGCTTGGATGGGACAAGGCGGTGAGTCGTTATGAATCCGCGTGCGATCTATGACCCCGTAGGGTCGATGCTCCTAGCCTAGACCTCGATCAATCAGTGCCAGTATCGAAATGGTGCGTCTTCCTACACCCTCGTTGAAATGCTCTCACAACAGTTCAATCAGCCCACCACCTGCTGAGAAGACCGGGCCACTCGGAGAAACGCCTACGATCTCGACCTCTTCTGAATACCGGATTTTCTTAGGAAATGTCCGAGTGATAATGTCGAGTATCACAAACAGGTTGTCGATGAAGTACTCTTCACTGCTTGTTGTATTTATTCTTGTGGGCGCGGTGAACTTAGGTGACAGAGACAAGTGGGAGGCAGGAACGGGAGGAGGGAGCAATTGCGCGAGAGCGGAATTCACGTTCCGGTGAACCAACCGAGCGACATGGTCTAGACTCTCCGGGCGGTGGTGACCAATGTGTATTATCTTCTCTCCACGGGTACGAACTGAAGTCCACCTTGAAGACATCGTCGCTGTCACTGTTCCTCACATCAAAACCAGTCCAGCTGTTGGCAACGTTTGAAAGGTCAACACCAATCTCGCTGGAGTATCGTGGGAAGACCAAACTTTAGACTTGTAAGAATGTGGTTCTGTGCGGAAATTGTTCAGAAATCATTCGATGGGGCCGAGAATCTGCAGGAGTCAAACCGCCCTTTCGGAATGCATCTTGGAACAGGCTTCATGCCATGGATGGATGCGAATTTGATGCATGTCTACATAATTTCGTTTCTGCCGTGAACGGCACATGTCTACTCTGGAGCGACATCGTGGCGCACCCCCGCCTTCAATTCAGTAATCCAGGTGTAAACCACGATCTTGACGGATGATTCTGGTGTTTCCGTTCTTTGCCCCTCCTTTCTCTCGCTCAGACCGCCCGCGCTCACGCCGAGGAGATATGGACCGAAGCGCGGGGTGTCAGCAGCGGCTGCGTCTCCCGTGCTGCCGACGACCCCCGGCAGCCCGGTGGCGGTTGCCGCCAGAGTAATCTCTCAGGAGGAGTCCGTCCGTTCCACTCTAAGGATGAAGAGAGCGGCAGAAGCGATAGCTCTCGAAGACGCCCGGATACTTGTGAGATGAAAACCGTTTCTCACAAAGCCTGTTCGTTAGTCGCTGCCTTCTACAAAGAACTATCGGTCGCCGGACGAATGATACGGGTGCAGAGACAACGTTGTGGTACACCCTATCCTCCGGTCATATGCATGAAGACCCGCCCGTTCGAATCCACGTGTCGGGCACCGAGAGCAGTTCACGCCACGGAATAACACCACGATTTACATTCCTTGTGCGTCTGGCTCCATGTTTTCGTCAACAGGCAGAAGTGAAACACCAAGAAGAGCAGCGAAGGCGCCAGTCGGAGCACAGGGTGGCCGAATCACCCCCCCCTCCAAGGCCTGAAGACGACCACGGCGACGACCCTGCCAAAGAAGAAGACGCCAGAGCCCGGGTAGGGCACATTGTAGCCTTGCCTTCGGTGTATTGTAAGTTGTGAGAGTGGGGTGCCAGTTGACTTTCATTCATTTCCGCGTTGGGAGCATGGAGGAGGTCGGTGAGCGAGGAAAGCAGCTCCGAAACCTCACGCGACAAGAGCCCGATCCGAGCAGGTTCATAGTGTTAGTGGACAAAAACAAGGGAGGGGTCCCTTCCCTCAAATCCCATGTTCTGCTGCATCCTATGCCCATGCATGACTAAAAAGAAAGCCGAGAAGATGCGTGTGCGGGCACTGCGGGCTCTCGCGGCTCGTGAAGAGGCCGAAATCGATCGGGATAGAGCACTGGAGCTTACCCTGGAGGTGTTGAGGAGGAAACACGCCGACAAGCGGCGGGGAGTCAGCACAATTCCTTCAGCACCAGGTGGGACCGTAATCAAACCTTTCCCCACATACTATTGTGCTGCTTTTTCTTCCGTATCTTTGTCGGTTAGGGTTAGTTTTTGTGCTCCTGCCGTAAGGCGTATTTGTACCCCGACGTCGAACGATTGCTGCTGTTGCTGCTACTCTTTGGTGCTTCTGTTGTTGCTGGCGGTGTCTTCGTTAAGACAGTATCACTGTCGCAGCGTGAGACAACGTCAGTGATCGCACGTCAGGGCAACAAGGAAAAAAGGAAAAACACGAAATGACACACCGAACCTCCCAGAAGAACAAAAATAGTCCCCACGCCGATGTTATAACACATGTTTCTGAGGGTAGAGTGTAGCCAAGTTGACACGCCCTACATTTCTACCATCAGCACGGGCAATCACAGCTTGACACGGCAGCCATCGACTCCAAACATGTCTTCATACAATACTCAGCCAGGTCGATGTGGTGGAGACTGCTCCATACAAAAGTTTTCCATTCTTTAGGTGTGCCAACGTCTTGTTGAAGGGATTGCTTCTGTCAGCTGAAGTTTGCTCTCCTTGCCTCAACAGCCTACAAGAGGGCGCATTCCCCGCCAAGGAAAAGCAAGAGACCGGATGACCACCGGACTACCTTGGCGAGGAGGGTTAAGGACTCGGCCGCCAGGTCGGTCGTGGTTGTTGTAATCGGTCGGCGGTGACCTGTTAATGAAAATTAAAATTACGTTGTCTTGTGTGTGTTAGGATGTAGAAAACAAGTACCGCAGAAAAACAAGGATTGTCCGCGACCATGGTTCAACACCATTGCCGCCAACATATTTGCCATCAGCACCACCAACGTTCCCATTCTCGGAATGGATGCTTTGTCTTACCACAGCGGCAACAGCGACAACATAACAACAGCAACACAAATATGCAGCAGCAACCACAACCATCTCGACGACAGCAGGTCGTGCGGCCTGAGCCAGGCGCAGGTTCTCCTGCTCCGACGGTCGAGGAAACTTGGTCGAGAGGGCGACGCGCCCAGGACGGTTTCCGAGAGGCGAACGGAACAGCTGGCTCAACCAAAAGAACACCGACCAGCTACGCGAACAAGGTGTGACCGAGTAATGACACTGGCATGTGGCATGTAGCTGCCCTCGCTGCGAGGGAGGTGCAGATGAAAACCCGTTGGTATCTTGTTTGTCGCAGACAACTCGCTTCTAAGATTTCCTGTTTATCAACCTCTGGGGAAGTTTCATGACCCTTCCCCCCCGGTCGGTCCTCTCCATCACTTTTCGTGTAGAAATTCGGCCACCGAGGCGTTGGTGGAGGAGCTAACAAAAACAATGACGGACAAGGAAAAACGAGCGTTCTTACACGCGTGTTTGGCGGATGCGAAGGAGTGCACCCATCGACCATACACCCGTTCGGCAGCAGCAGCCGCTCGACACCGAAAGGGCGGTGCGGGTGATGGTGCAACAGGGGGTGGTGAGGAGGCCAAGGATGGGTCAGGACCTGGAGCAAGTATTGACGCGTTCCTTTATCGAATGGGCGCCCAAGAGCGAGCCAAGTGAGCCATCTGATTGCTCGGTAAATTTTGATTGTTAAACAGCTGCTGAAATCGTAATACTGGAGGCGCCTTCTCTTGCGCAAATACCAATAGCAGCTTTTGTGTGGTGCGCTCGCAATGAACGATGCGACGTAGAAATCGTCGGAACAATGTTGTACACGATAGATACCTGTGATCGGGACATTGTAGTTGAAACCTCTTCCGTAATCCTGCCGTCGTCCACGAATAGGGTTTGCTTGCTGATGCCTATTCGAACGACGCTTGTCACCAAAAACAGGAACGCCGCGATGGAGCATCGTCGAGGCGAGCTGGCATACAAGGCCGTTCTGGACAAACGAGTTTGTCCAGGCTGCGGGGCCGAGCAATCCTACGATGAGGTAGGCTGCGTTACGAAGTGTCAGTTTGATATGGGTAAGCACGCCACACCGAAAATACAGCGCATACGCTATATCACGAGTTTGGTGTCTGCAGTAGTAGTCATGATCAACACCTACATAGTTCCTGGTGTTTGGTACTGACCCACGTAGATCAAGCAAGGGAATTTTCCGCGAGTCAACTTAAGCATGGGCCACGAACCCAGATGGGGGCGCTGGCGAATGGAACACTGGGATATCGCCTTTTGTACGGGACAACTTGCATCTAGTTTGCGCACATCGTTGATGCTTATTATTCAGGTTGAGGAGAAACGAAAGATATGCCCGAACTGTGAGGCTGAATATCGCAAGCCGAAGACGTGGGCAAGCGTCCGAAAGGTGAGGAAAAGTAATGTGTAACGGGAACACTGTAGATTTCAGTTGGCCCAAATATGCGATGGGTAGATTGAGACGACGACATGCATCACAAGGCGTAAGACATGGGTTTTCAGCAACTGCAGTAGTAGTCGACCAATACCAGAGGGCGCCATGTCCGGAGTGTCAAGTGGATAAACGTACGTCGTCTTGGCTTCAAAGTGTCACAGTCCGCAATAGTATTGTAGCGTTTTTTCTCTGGCATGTGTTGATGTCTTTTCGTCCGTCTGACTTTCGCTCCCATGATAGCGTTGCCTACTCGAAGGCCCTAAGGTCGATTAGTCTCGGCGGCTCTCCCAAAATTTGCGAAATGTTTGCCTCGCGCTCCCCGTTTTCCCGTCTCAACGCCAAGGATTTCCTGAACCGTGTGGAGGCATTTCAAGAGTCGAAACGGGAAGCTGTTCAGGCTGCTACGCAAAGCAGGGTAAGACCAAGACAGGTACACAGGTACCGAGCGAAAGATGCCATTTGTTTGCATAGGCGATCTACTGCAATGCACCTTGATAGTATCATTGCAACGCTCGCGCAGGGGAAAACAATCCAGAAGTTCGAAGAATGACTACATATTGTATACCTGCCTGTGCTCGACACACAGATGCGGACGTTCGCGCTTGGAAGCCATCGTAGCTACGACGGCGCCGAGAGGGAACGCTTGTTCTGGGAAGACATCGAGGACGACTTCGTTTACAGGTAGTGCAAACCCTTCACACAGTTGTTGGGGGATACAGTGTGGAGGTGCTTCACGTCAAAGCCATCGATCACAAACGTGTTCCCTTAGATGATGAGCTGCAATTTATTTGCGGAGGTCAGTCAGTTGTCGTTATTTCGGGTGCGTTCTTGGCCCCATCACATACATGCGTTTTTCCGCTTGTCGCTTCGACGCATCATTCGCTCCACAGGCTGCAGGAGGATGCAGCCAGACGGCAAGAGTCTCTTGAATCTCGGTCAGCGGCTCTTTACCAGGACTGGACGTTCCGGCCTACGCTCAGCGCCGCTAGTGAGCGTGTTGTAGACGAAAGCGCATGGGCAGGTTCGTTCTCCGAACTACTGTACACTTTTCGGTTGTCACCGGCTCTACGTGCAGGGCAGCTAGATTCAGGGGTGCATGTCAATTTTTGCGCAGACGTATCCCTACATCTCGCAGCAACTCGTACCCACTTGCTCGCCTGCCGAACATTCTGGTCAGCAGGCGTGTAACGTGATGATATTTGGCATCACCATCAAGGCCGTCCCATTTTTGCAGATGTAGTCTACCATCAAAAAGAGGCTACCCGTTCGATCCCTTTTCTCTACGCTTTTCGATGCGGCAATCAAAGTTTTCTCCACTTCCGCAGCATTCACTTTCCCACCCTATCCCGTGAAGGGCAGAAGATACGAAATACAACAAGCTTCCGCCGCATGCTGCCCGCGTGCTTCTCGCGTGTGAAACCGCAATAATGCGATGCTGACCGCTTGGGAGGGCTCCCGTATCGTCTCTGCAGGCCCCCCTGTAGTCGACAGGGCCTCGTGTAGAATCTAGCAGATAACGCAACTCATACTACGGCCACAGTGACACCGTTGTGACCAACCGGAATGTGCTTAATATGTAGAACATGCTCGTCTTGTAATAGGTTCGCGTGTTGTGACGAATTTTGGGGGCTCTTCAGTCATCGAAGTTCCAATGCTGTGCCGGGAATGTGCATGCTATTTGTATGATGAGCCATCAACAAAACTACGGCAACACTACGGTTCCACAATGGGCGACCAATACCTTACACCGTACTTGGTCCGATACCTTGCAATGACCACAGCGACATGAATCTTTACCCTGTTCTGCAGTATCAGGCAAACGATCATCAGTGTATTTGCATAGAGGACAAAGGTACATTCCGTTCAAGGGCTCCATCTATACGATAGCAATCTGACCAACGATACCCGGACCCACTGCGGCAAAATCCACAGGTATGAGCTTTCTGGAGCGTGTGGAAGGGGATTTACAACGACGGAGGGAGGCCAACCCAGCATTTGCTAACAATGACGACCGTGGCGATAGCTTCGGAGGCAGCTTCGCCTTCACGAGTTGACAGATTTTCACGAAGCTGCCACGAAGTTTCCTGTTCATGCTCCAACCCATGACCTGATGATATGTAGCACCTCAGGCAGGCGTCATGGTCGGGTTACCTGGGGGTATTTGGATCTCTCGCGATGATACTAGCTTCTTCGAGTTTTCACCATGTGATGTTCAGGACATGTGTCGTTATTTTTGTACAATACAAAATTTCTTGAGCGTCAATGAACCTTACTGTCATCGCACGCCGGTACCACAGCTACTCGCGGGAGGTGCGCATGGGGTAGCTATTTCCAATGTTGGGGGCGCAACACACTGCACAACTTACGCTAACTTTCCCAGTGCATGGACGCCGCCGTGATGCTACGGAACACCAAGAAACTGCTGTCAGTTCATGGGCTGCGTGTCAAGTCTCGTCCCCGTACGGTGCCCTCTACTGTAAGTGGCAACTCGCTGGAGGAAGGGAGTTTTGAGCACCAGCAACGAGCACATACAAAGACAATTATAGAAATGTGAGATACTTCCGTTCGTTCAGACCAAAACACACTGTTGCGATGGGCGGAGGTTGCGCCTTCCAAAGCCAACTCTGCTCCGGCTTAGCCAGTTGCGCAGCGGGGAAAATATATGTCGTGCTGGTATTGAGAAGCATCATCCGGATTCCGTGTTCAAAGTTTCATCGACGAATCGGTGAAGACACCCAGGTCAACGTTGATTTTATTTTGGCCAACAGGCAATAGCGAATACCACCGAACATCCGAAGAATCAAGTTGCCTGACTGCATTATTGGTCGGGGTGGATTTTCACTACCGTGTATTTTTCTCATGCATTCGTGTTGCAGAAACTGGGCGTTCACTGCTTGCAGCGCGACGTCTACGGCACGAGCTGGCCTTGTATCGATATATTTTGGACTGGAGCTCTTATGCTTGAATCGGATATCCATACATCCGCGTAAAGTGGGGCGAGAGTTGTGTGTCTCACCCACAACATTGTCGGCATACCGATTGAAACCATGCTAAAATGCCCCAAGAGTGGGTGAAATGGAATAATCTGAAACAACTTGCATGGCCATGAAGAAAGCACATGCTCCAAACTATCTTCGAAGACTGATTGGTGAGCCCGAAAAATCTGAAACAACCGCAGCACGGGCATCAAGAGAATGTGCTTCAAGCTTTCAACGAAGGTCGGCTGGTGAAATGGAAATGTCTGAGACGACAGCAGCATGCGTATAGCACATTGCAATAGGCTGTGCTTGAAACCATCATCACCCCCTTGCCGACTGTCCCTGGCCACAACCTCTACACACACCGGGAGAGGGTCGTGTCCGCTCTATAATAGCGTACTCATGATGCTCGCCTTTGTCGTCTTACTGTCACGACTTCGTGGCATGCCGACTGACCAGCGCGCAGCGCTGATGACGGTTGTGCAGCAACACCGCCAACAAGAAAAACATAAATCAACAACCCTGACGGACCAATGGCAAACATCATTGGGCAGTTAGTCTCCATGACCCGGCGACAATACTACACTGTACCATGAGCGCAAGCAATAGGCTTTCTCTCTCTGCGCCGGGTAACTGCTGAAAAAAAAACAGTGCAACAAATCAATAGGGACTGATTCCGATGAAAGCACCGTCCCATCCTCGATCTGATGGTACAGAATGGGAAGCAGACAAGACATACCCAATCGCTCAGACGCGGGAAACCAGGGCTTCAAGCAACACGCCTGGCGAGATACTTGTCCAGACAGTTCCCTGGAAAACAAGCAGACGGAATACAACTCCTTGGTGAAAGCAAGAACAAGGAGGCATCGAAGCCTACAAAACACTTCTCTACCTCCACTACCTCGAGGTACACAGGTTCCCGCCTTTCCAACCAGCCCGTCCTGAAGGCGACATGCCATTCGACGGCCACACGCAAAGCCACACCAAGCAACAACAGCAACTCGTCAGGTACGCCTTTTCAGCTCCGTGTCTTGCTCCTTGCCCCCCTCAGCACCCTAGCGCACTTCCCCGCCCGATTCGAACGCGGCACCTCACAGGTACGCATGGCAAGCAGTCCAGTACGCGTCGTTTGTCTGCTCTTGGTCTTCCGTGTCAGCCTTGTCAGCACCTATTAGCTGCACCGCCACCGATGCTATTCCGAGGGGCCAGACGTTCGTCCTGTACTTCATATGGGCTGCAAAAAGTATGACCATAATCTTGTATTCGGGCTTGTTAGGCGGGACCTTCAGAAACTTTGAATACGCCTTGGCCAGTTGAGAGGCTCCCTTGAAAACCCCGTGAACACCTGTGGAGCAGGGCATTGTTGTTGTCAGGGCGAAGGTTGTAGCTCAGAACCAAGACCCATGGCAGGCAGCTCAAGATGACGATTGGTGGAATCATTCAACAAGAAGGCCTGGATCCCCTCATCTGAAGAAAGGATTGCTTGCTTTTCAAGCATGCACCAGCCCCGTCGACTCCAGTAACCGGCTTCATCAGGGCAGTACCTCCGTCAAACGCGGCCAAACTCAGCATCACAGAGGGAGGCACATCACCTTGAAACACCATCGTTCCTTGCTGGAAGCCGCCCTCGCCAAACTCGATTGCAAGCCACATCAACCTTGCCCCCTTCGCGATCTCAGCGATACCTTCGCATGCATCGTAAACAATTACCGGCCTGAAAGTTGAAAAGGCGGAGGGAATCCAAGGCACACGGCACCGTTGGCCGAGGACAAGCGAGACAGGGAAGGAAGGTATTCTGTGACGCTCGCATAATCGTTCTGCTGGACGATCCTTAACGTGATGAAGCCATTACGGCAGGGTGCGGCGGTCAAGCGAGTACGAGGAACATGTAGTCGTTTCTGCGATGGGGTGCTCTCCATCAAGTTAGACGGTGGTTGATTTCCTTCGCGTCCATCGGCAGTGGATAAACCTGTACATGCACTTTATGCTGACATCTTCACGAGCCTGCGACAGGGGAGAGTCACTCTGCCCGATGCCGTCTAGAAGCACGATTCAGTCAGTTGTTCGACAATGATCCGGGACCACAGAAAAGAGACTCATCACGTCCGCTTGCTTACGTGAGCCCTCCCTGCGGAGTATTGTGCTCCAGACCGCCTGCGTGAGGGTGCCCTTGTTCGGAGAACCCCAAAGCGGCGTCGGCGACGGTGCCGCCCACCTCGAGTGCGAAGGTAAACCAGAAGAGCCCCTTGTCGCCCCTGAAAGAAGCAGGGGCCAATAAAAACAAGGAAGGGTTTCTCGATACTACAGTACCTCCTTGTATCGGCATAGTCTATGCATAACACACAGACTGACTTCGGCGTACCAGCAACATGCAACCACTACAACAGCGATCTGAAGCCATTTGAGCAACGGAGGGAAATCAGCAAGCGTGGTCTATCGATCAATCCCGTTTGGACGAAAGTCTAGGCCCCGCTACAAGCCAGCCGGGGAGGGCACGGGAAGGCACACACAACCGGAAACGGAAAACATTCCGTTTTCTTACTTCTTCAGGACAGTTTTCTTCTTGTTCTCCCGGTTTTTTGTCTTGTCGAAGTAATCGCCAACGTAGACCATGCTCGCTCCGCGGTCCAGGAGCTTCTGGATTACTTTGGCCAAAGAAATTATCTTGAATACCCTGTGGCCCCTGGGGAAGCGTCTCTGTCCTGGAACCTTGCTGACGTCCACCACCGCTGCAATTCGAAACAGCAGACAATGAACGCACCCCAACACCGCAGTGAGATGATTAGCACAAACATGCATCCTGTTACTCAGCGGCATTTCCACTCTCACCCAGAAGAAGAACGGGCTGTATTTTCGATGTTTGCATCTCCGCGGGACAACGGGGCGTTGCCCATAGAGCACTCTTGAGAAACTGCATGAAGTACGTTCTAGCCATGTTGTCTTGTACGCCGTTGCTATTGGCCGCAAGATGCTTGACGATGAGCAACGTTGCCGCTTGACAGCATCGAAACCAATGAGTTGGGCGAACTTCCCATCACCTTGGAAAGGTATTACGATGCCAGACATGACGATGGAGGCAACCTTCAGCAGGGCCCACCATACTTTCTTTTTCGTCTCGCTGCCCTTGTCTGATTCCTTTTCCCCCGACCTCGATGTGTAGACGAACTCGCTGCACGCGACGCGACGGACAAGACAGCAGCCAATAAATTGTTGAGTCAGACTTACTCATAGTTTCGGGAAAGAAAGACTGCTTCTCGGGTGCAAGTCCCGTGTAGTTTGCTTGTGCCATCAAAGGCGTGGAGAACTATTTATCGCCGCACTTCCCTCGCCGGGAGACGGTGGTGGTGGGTGATACCATACATCCTCACATTCGGTGAGATTCATCACGCGATTCGGCGTCACATTTTTCATCAAATCATTTTTGGCGACGCCAGGTCTTCACGGACAGGGCCGCAACGAAACATATCTCTCCGAGCTCCCAAGCGAGCACTTCTACGTACCTGCTGCTGTTATCGCCAGGAAGGCTCCTCGTCAGATGCGCTGGAGCACCTGTAAGAGGAAGGATTGAGGTTGCGCGAGTTGCCTGTTTAGTGCCGGAAGTGCTGTGACAATACAGTAGTGACAACAGATCTTGCACGCCAGACGGTAGCAGGGCGGTAGAAAAACTCTCAGTACGGTCGAATCAGTGACTGACCACAGTATCTTTGTGCATTGTGTTCGAGCTTGTAGGGAAATTGTACTGTAACCCTTCCTCGACGAGGACAGCATAGTCTATTATATTTTTGGCGGCAGCTGGCGGAACGACGCCAGTTGGTTACCCTCTAGACTAACCTGTGCCAGAAGATTGGACGTCCTCTTCAACGATCGCCATAGTGCTACTGTTGGTGTCCATCGCTGGGTCTATCAAGCCCAGCTCCGATGGCCATTTCCCTAGAAGTGCCTTGGAGGCGTATGTTACGGGGATGGCAAGCATGAAGAACAACGCTTTCGCAAGCTTGAGTTTGCGCCCCGTGATGAGCTTGTAGATCTCGCTGATGACCGGGATGTATTGCGTGCCTCCATCGGCGAGCCAGGCACGGACCGCGTTCGCTGCGTTCTTCAGGGGGTCCATCATTGCCTTGGTGCTGGCCTGTGCGACATCGGAACGCACGCGGAATGATTCGCTGTTGTTTTGTAGGTGGTGGCCGCAACACAATTTTTTTTTCCTGAAGAAAAGAGCGCCATGTACAACGTTTACCGAACAAAGGGAGGTGTTCGATATGGGCAACTTCGGCATGCCCCCTCGCAATCAATCTCTTAAGGAAGTGCGCGTACACAGACAAACCCAAGAGTGCTCTCGACTGGCTGCAGGTCTAGCGCGAGGAGCGGAGGCACCAAAGGTTGTCCTCACTCGCCCCCTCACCCCCGGCATACCGTACCTCCAGAACATCGAGGAAACCTTCGGCGAGCGCGGACATAAACGCGTTCAGGCCCTCTTTGAACTTTCCGTACAGGTACTGGAGCTTGTCCGCCATGCTGTCCTTGCCGGAGTCGTCGTCATCGCTGTCGTCCGAAGAATCCTCTGCTCGAGACAGACAGACGTGTACGGTGGGGGTGGGGAGTGCGTCATGGTTGACGATTCTAGGGTTGAGTGGCCTTTCGAGCGTAGAACTCAAAGGGCGGTTCGTCGCATGCTGTCAGCTGGGGCTCCGTGCAGCACCCAACTTGGACCCTGCCAACGCCCACGATGGCCGATGTGTCCAATCGTATGCAGGCACAGACTGACTGACCGTGTCAACTCAGGCAACTACAAAATGCAGCAGCAAGGGTCACTGCCGGCCCGGCATGTAACGCAAGGTTCGGGTGGGACCCCACAACGTCGGTGGACGCGATCGAGAGAGATGCCATCGACCCACCTTCTTCATCCGCGGGGCCCGCTGACTCGTGGAAGGTGCCGGACTCGGCGTGGTGTTGAACGAAGTTTTCCTTGGGATCGATCTCGCGGTCGTCCTGCGCCGTGTCCTCCTTGCTCATGTCTTGGGCATCGAGGTCAAGGCCGCTGCAGGGGAGCCACGAAACGCCAGTGTTGACGGAGAACGTAAGGAACGAAGCACGCCAAGAACGTATCACCCGGATCGGCGGCTTACCGGTCGGCACGCTGGCAGGTGGCGAGCCGTTGGCTACTACAACAACTCACAGAATTGATTCGGTCCCGAAACTCGTGTGGTCTTCGTTGCACGTCTATCTGGGTTCAGGTTTCTAGTTTAACAAAGCACGGGGACTTTACACTGCTGACACTAGATCTCAGGACCAACATTCCGAAGACCGAGCATAGGTGATCCACACGAAGCACAGGTGGTATGGGTTCGAGGACATGATGCCTTGTTGCACAGTTTCTTTCAGTTTCGTTCGACAACCAACCCGAGACTCTGTGGCATATCCAACAGGCCATGAAGAAAACAAAATTGGATACTGTAGAAGCCTAAGGTGCAACCCTGACCGCGTGCTTCTATTCCATAAGAGGGGTATCAACTAACGGTTTCATTGAAGACCAAAGCGGGAGGATCATGCTCACGTCTTCTTCTGCAGCATTTGGCGGATTTCGTTGAAGTATTCCTTGATGTCTCCCTGTGTGGGAATTGATTTGATGAACTCGTCCATCCCAGCCAACACCTGGGCTTCCAATATCTCGGCGGTCTTCAAAATCTCCTTGTACTTGAAGAAATTGGCGAGCCATTCGATGGCCTTCATGATACCCGTCTGTTCGTTTGGTACGGTAGCATCAACAATCGCAGGATTGCACATGCGTTCAACGCAGAAATGTAGTGCGGCTGCTTTCGAGCTTTCCAGCGTCATGAAAATCGCAAGAAGATCAGTTGTGGCCCACATCGTCGTGTAACTCAACCCAGGGGTGGTCACGTTACTGCTATTGCGAACCTCACTCTTCTCGCACTATCCGCGGCAACCACAAGCACCAGCTTGGACCTCATTGTGATGCAGCAATGAATGCCTTGGTCCAGATCGATGTACGTCTCTGCATGAGTGGCAGGGGATTCGGCGTGGACTACAGCCAGTAACAGGTGTGAATCCGTGAATGCATCTTGTCCTTCTGCCTACAGCCACATGCGGTGCAGTTTTTCGATTTGGTGTTGTCTCTGCCGCAACCCGCACGTCCAAACCTTGATTTTGTCCCACAGCCAGTCGAGTGCCTTAATGAGCTGCTCGAGCTTGGTTTCCACGAAGTGATACACCACCTTGCCGATCTTCACCACAAAATCCACCCCCTTCTTGACAACTTTCTGGAAGGGATGGAATCAAGGCAAGAAACGTCGGGGCGGGGTATTTGGACGGTTCGAAGCAATCGCAAATATGCTGCTGACGGATGTTACTGATCAATGTCTTGTCGTGGTTGTTCTGGAGCACGCACAATTCAATTCCCTTACACCTGCGCCTTCCTCCAAGACTCGATCAAAGGAGGAGGAGTGTCAAATAGGGGGATGTGAACGATAAATAATTGGAGCATCTACTGTAGACGGTGCGAAGTCTCCCATTGGCCAAAAAAGGAGGAGTCATGTTCCGTGTACGGCTGTGCTGTTCAGGTCGTGTTGATTGTCCTTTCATTGCGAGCCTTTGCTTCTCTCTAGTTCAACTTGTTGCCCTGGATTTGATTTCAGTCAGGGTAAGAGCCAATACCCTTCGAAACATAAAACACCGATCAAACGTTTACCATACTCTAGCTCGATGGGTTGATGGTGTATTCATCAACCAACTCAGTCGTGATGCCCACCTGTACCAGAAAGAAAATACACTAGGTATCAGTGCAAGAGGGAGCATCGTTGTTTCGAAGCGGACAATCGAAAGAACAGGACCTCACGTGCACACGGCGTGTATACTTGGTGCTCAGAGAAGGAACGCCTTGAAAACAGGAGAGGGGCTTCGTTATCCAAATTGAATACTCTTCCAACGCGACGAGGGACTATGTAGCTCACCGACACTTTCCTGGCCACCTTCTTCAGCCCCTCTGGAGTGTGTTCCCACACCTGAGTATCCAGAAGAATAGAACGTTCGACGGAGGGTTAGTCGGCGGGGGAGCCCCCAACGTTGATCGGAACGATTCGACGACGCATCTAGACTACGAAAGGGTAAGAGATGGTTGGCAAAAGTACAGGATCAACACCCTCATGGAACAGACAAGTGTTGTAGGCATTCAGGAGCGAGAACTGCCGCCAAGTATCCACAGTAGTCCTGACGATGGCGCTGCGGCGCGAACGTCAGCGACTGGTGCGCTGCGCCGGACCCAAACCATGTAAAGCACCGTATCTCTTCGACTGCGTCTCACCTCAACGACCACCTCTTCCACCACCTCGACCACCTTCATCGTCACATCACCCACGACCTCGACGGTATCCTTGGCAACATCCTTGACCTTTTCCACAGGACAGCAGTGAAAAAAGCGTTTTCAAAGCGTAAATGTGGCGTTAGGAAGCTTGGTTTGCACGCACGTGGCGTCCAACGTTCGAGCCATCAAGCAACCTGCGTGGAAATGAATGCTTGCCAGACCAACTTCGACTAATTAACTCTCGCAGATCCTGCCTTGATTGTGAGTGGGGTTTTTCGGTGAGGAAGGACAATCGAACACTGTCGGCATTCTTACTTTGACAACGGTTTGTTCAACGTATGTGTTTTTCACGCGGTTCATGATCCACTCCTTGTCTAGGCACTCTCAACCCGAGGCAAGAGAAAGGAAGGCATAAGAAAGCACAGCGTTCGGCACCTTGTCGGCCGCGTTAACGATGCCGTCCTTCACGGTGCCGGCCGCATCCTGGACTCCGTCCTTGATGTCACCCGCCACATCTCCCACCTCGTTCCCGGCGTCTTCCGCCAGCTTCCCGGCACCCTCCGCGGCCTGCTTCGCCACATCCGCCGCTATCTTCGCCTTGTCTGCTACCTGTCGGGGACCGGACGTATTCAAGCATGCATGCGCACCAGTAGAGCTCCATGAACAGGAACGTGTGTCTGTTATGGTTCGAGACGACAAGGCTCTCTCCGTGCTTGTCTCAACATCCACACGGCGAGGGGGCCAAATCTAGCGAGGAGGAAGGGGGTGCATCTCTCCCTAAAAAGTGCTGATTTGCCCGACTTCCAGTCTACTCCGGCAACTCGAATACTGTGCAAAAATCAGTTCAGTTAACCGGTTTTCCGGAAACGCTGTGTCTGATTTCTAGTGCGATAGCCAACGGTTCTGAAAGCCCGCAAAAGTGAGGGTAGATAATCGTACAGCAGGGGGTTGCTTCTCCCTCAAGTGTAGGAGGTGTTTGACCTCGTGGTGTACATCATGTCGCAGTACATGCCGATTGTCTCACGCACCTCGTTTGCTACAAGCCCTCCTGCCTTCTTTGTTTGTTCGGCGGCTTGAGCCACGGCCTTTGCAGCCTTCTCCGCTTCCCTCTTGGCTTGAAGGGCTGCTGCTTCAGCTTTGCGCGCTGCGTCCTTGGCAATTCTCTCCGCCTCCCGCTTCGCCTGCTTGATACCAATCAAAACATGTCGCACCATGATCACTATCGCTACGTAATACGTCTTCTCGTCCAACCATGTAGTCATGCATCTCCTTTGCCCCATACCAAATGTCACCTACGACGTCTGAGTTTTGTCTGGCTGGGGTCCTCCCAATGCCTTTTTGTTTTAGGTTTGTGCTCTATTACCGCGTTCGTGGTGATTACCTACTCGGCACCTACGTTGAGCAGTTGCATTGTGACTACAGAAGGTGTCTGCCGCGTCACTTGGACCGGTAGGCTGTTGAAGATACTGAGTAGAGACCGCAACGGTTTCTATTATAGAACGAAAAACATCAACAAACAACATAAGATGCTACGTATGCAGAAACAGCCAACTATAAACAGGTTATCTCGCCTGTTTAGCTGCCTCCTCGGCTTTTCGGGCGGCCGTCTGGGCCGCCTTCTTCGTCTTGTTGGCCGCACTCTGGACCCCGGACTTGGCCTTCTTGGTTGTTTTCTTGACCCAGCCGCCAATACCTCTGCTGGTATGTTCTGTCGATCTGTCCAAGGGTTTTACACGGGAATTGGTCAACGCAGGCCACCACAACCAACAACAGAGGCCCATCGGGGGAACAATACAGGGTGTGGCTGTCCTTTGACCTTTCGAAAGAAGAAGCACTTAGTCTAGATTCTTATCCGAACGCGCACGCTGCGGCTGGGTGCGAGGGCATCTCCAAACTCACCCGTAGGCACCGTCATCGCCGTCGATGTCATCCTCCCCTTCGTCTTCTTCGGAGTCTAGAGCTTCTGCGGCCTCCGCCTCCTCGACTGCTTTGAGTTCAAAGGCCGCCGTTTGGGCTGCCTTCACAAGCCGGGCGGCCTCCAAGGCCGTTCTCTCAGCTTTCTTCCTTGCTTCCTCCCACCTCGGCTCCGTCAGGCACTCAGCGGTACTGTTGATGATCGGGCGCCTTGTTGTTGTCTCACCCTCCATGGCCTCAGAGCCAAACAGTCCACTGCTTGTGTGCCCGGGTGGCCTGAGAACATTGCCAACAACATCATTTGTGGCCCGTCGGGGGAGAACACCGCGAACATTCTTTTTCAACTCGCAAGATGCATGGCACCGATGTGGTCCCCTTACAACCAAACTTGGTGACGCCGTAGTGTTCCGCAACACTTGAAGGCTGAAATGTTGTTTCCCAACTCATACGTAGCGGCTGGGGTTTCATGAGAGAAGGACAACCGTGGCCATTGCATTGGACACAATTATAGCGATTTGCCGGAATACGTTTTTTGGAAGCAAAAGTTTCATGCAGACGAGACCAGGGCCTAGATGTTTCGCAACGTTTTTGGGTTTCATTACCAACGCACCCACGCCGCGAAAATATAGCCTCGCTAATGTGAGAACTGCCCGACCGTCGCTTAAACACTGCAGGAGACCAAAACAACTATAAATTCCCGGCTCCATACGATACATGAGGCGGTGCCATCTCAATCAAGCGGACACACGGCCACATTTGTACGCTTCAACAGACTAGTCGATATCACAAGGGCAACATAAAAAAGCGTCACACATCAGGTAAACGAATCGCCAGACGCAACTGGCGCCAGGGGCGAAGACAGTTCAATCCCAGTCCCACCTACTGTCGACGACCTCTAATCGCGTTGCTTTTCGTGTGTAACTAACGAAACCATCCAAGTCTCGTCAAGCAGCAACAAGTTCACCCACCCGTGCCCAGCTTGCGCAGCTTCTTTCTCAGCCTCCCGCTTTGCTTCGTCTGCCAACTCCCGAAGTTCGTTGGCGATGGAATCAAAGAAACCCTTGTTGGAGGGCTCCGCCGACCTGTCAGGCATACAACAGGTTAACCAGGGTGTATGGCGCACAAATGGAAAAATTGTGAGTTATCAGACGAGCTATTATTGCATAGAAGGGCCGCGGACATGGCGGGGCAACGGACGCCATCTCACGAGTTCAGCCAACCGTTGGGTAGTCGCCGTAGTGCTCACCCGTACTCCCGGGGGTTATTGTCGTCAGGGTCATCTCCTTTGCGCTCTGGCTCTCCCGTGTCCTCACCCAGGGCTTCTTTCGCTTGTTCCGCTCTCTCCATCGCTTGGGCCGCAGCTTCCACAGCCTGTCCTGCAGCTTCTACGGCTTCGACCACATCAGAGTGTGCGGCTGGGGTGCTAGCAGCCGTCCGCCTGTAACGGACACCAATAGCCGGCGAGCGGCCAGGATAACCCGGCGAGCGGCCAGGCCAAGCCGGCGACTGTCCGTGCCTCGCACGTACTGGCAGGTATGACGAGTCACGCCCAGGGCGTGCTCCCGCCCGCTTGGCCTCTGCCGCTAGCCACAGCTTCTTCGCCACGGGGCCAAAGAAGCGGCCTCTGGAGTACTCGGCCGACCTGGTCAGGTGTAGCACACGGATGACACCATCAACAAACAAGACGCAAGCACGACAATTAGCAGGTAAATGTACTGCAGAGGCCCAGAAACGTGGAACTGGGATTGCACCGAGGCACCCCTACCACCCAATCATGCACCGTCCTTCTCTGCAACATACTTCGGCTTGGGGAAGGCGGGCTATTTTCATTCTATTCTACCACTCACAAGAATCCGCCAGCTTCGAAATCACCGGCGTCGACCAGTTGACCGTCCGAGCCTTGCAACCGCTCGATGGCCTTGGCTTGCTCCGATTTCTGTTGCGCAACTCCGGCCGCTTCTACCGCTCGTGCTGCTGCTTCCATCGCCCTCGCCGCTTCCTCTTCCGGACCTTCCACTCCAAGAATAATGTCCACCTGTGAATCTTGCGAAGCTTTCCTCGCCCCAAAAGCTTGTGCAGCTTTCATCTCTCCGATGTCTTGTGAAGCTTTCATCTCCACCTCCTCGGATGCTTTGACCGCCGCCTCCGCCGCTTCGACTGCGGCTTGCGTCCAACGAACCGCTTCCGCCGCCTGCTTTGCCTCCCCAGCCCACTTCGTGGCCTCGGCAGCGTACTCCGTGGCCTGCTCTTGAGCGCGCTCCGCGTTGCTCAGCTTGGACCTGAAATGAAGTTGTGCGAAAGTCCGACGGTATCGTTTTCCTTAGATAACTCTCTCTCCGTTAGAAAGCCTAACAACTTCCCATCATAGCTCCAACGCTGACACTGATGCGGCATGTAGTGAACGGACATTGTGGGTGTACGGAGGTTTACAGCGACGTACGTCCCACGCCCCCCAACACGTGCTCGGCAGGACCAAGGACCAACAACCCACAACGGTATTGTGTCGGGGAGACGTAGCTTGAGACATCCATGGCGTGCGGCGTACCATCATCACACCACGTTGAAATTGAATCAGTACCGACGGTTAAAAGAGGCCGTGAAGGCACAGAAGAGCCGAACAACAGGTACACGATTTCAGCACACATGACACAAAACTGGTGGGATCAAAACATAAGGATTCCTGATATTCTCTTCATGCTCTTACTTGAGTGACTCGGCCGCGTGCTTTTTCGTCTCGTAAATGGCCTCGTCAGCGTTTTCTCTGGCCTTCTTGGCGAGGTTTCCCATGTTCTGAGGGGAAATAAACGATTGAGAGGAGGGATCCAAAGACGATTAAGAAAGACTTTAAGCGTTGAAACTTCATAGTGTGGGGATGTACGCTACGTGGGAGACTGCAGCCACCCGGCGTGCAGATACCGTACAGCCAGCTATCACATCACCGCAGGTACGTGCGCCATACGAACATCTTCATGCGCTAGGCGACTAGTCTGAGCAAAGATCGTGTCGCGTATCTCCCCAAAGGACAGGAAGCAATCGAGATTGCGACTTCAAAGAAGCGCTGGCACACAGCCGAGGCAAACAGAGGCAAGCATTGACAAGACAACAGAGTAAACATCTATCACGTACCCGGCACTCGACGCGACGCACACGCTCGACGCCAATGTGTCCCATGCCGAACGGGTCAGGAGCGCAACGGTGCTTGGTGAAACGCCTGACTACCGGTCCGCGCCCACGTAACGCGGAATCGCCTCGGAAGACCGAGGTGGGCCTCTGCGGGGAAGCCATCTTCGAGTGGGGCAGGGACGAAAGAGAACGCGGTAGTGAGATGGATACCCTACGAATGTGAAAACAGACGTTTCGAATCGCTCAGAAGACAAGGGAACGTGATATTCGAGTCAAAAGGCAAACTACGGTAGAAGGTGGCGAAAGCGCACCAAACACGAGGGAATGGGTGGCAGCATGGATGCTTCGGGGCTACTGTTCTTACCTACTGTTGACTACGACGCCGAGGAATTTGTAGCTGAAAACGATTGCGACAATTGGCAGCCCGGACATGAAGCGGGCATCGATGCTGTTCGTCCTCAGCAACTAGGTAAACATATTACACGACCACCCACCAACACCGAACATCGTACTCTCTCAACGAGCAGCCCCGGTTGTGCCCCAACAATTACACCAGGGTACCAAGGCAGGATTGCTTCGTTTGCGCGCACCAAACAAGTGCTCATCTCATCATCACTTCGCACCTCTTTCAGTTCGCCACCGATGGACTCGACGCCACCTCCGATCTGTCTGGTGGTGGATTCGTAGCCTGGAGACGGAGGGCCATCGTCGACTTCCTCCTCCTCGAAAGCGGGACCCTCGTCAACGAAAGCGACAAACTTGTTCTTGTCGTTGAAAGCCCCGCCGGTCAGGCGGAAGATGCCGTCCACATCCTACGATAAGGAAAGAACAGGTGAAAATAGATAGCGTCTATGGTGAGATGGTGTGTTACTGTCGTGTTTGGTGTGAACATGCGAGGGTCAACATCGACATCAACGAAGGAGTGGCACCAATAAGGATGTGCTTTACATTGCGAAGGCAACAAGTATTATTGTCTGCATGGGCCGTCAGTTGCGACGGGTCGTCCATGATACATGTAGCGTTGGTGAGGAAAACAGATATACGTCAATCCTACACAATTTCTCGTAGGGTTGTGAAAGTATTGCTCACGTTTTTCTTCGGAAATTCGGTCGGAGACAGGACTTCGAACCCCTTCGCAAGCTGAGCAACCGCGTCGACAAAGTCGTTCAAGTCGCCATCATCGGGGTCGTCGATTAAGCTGGTTGTCGATCGTTGGATGCGGTGTTCAAACGAGGGAAGAGGGAAGAGGGAAGAGGGGTGGAGACAGGACGTGAGTCTAACGGCCATCATCAGCGACACGATGTGATGCTAATATTGCTATCTGTGCATTCCTCGAGTGATGGTTCACTCCGCAAAGTAAGTTCCACAGGGAGCACATGCAGTGATACGAATGAATTCGAAACAGGATTGCGTGATCGGGAAGAATCTTTCCGGGGTATGGAGGGCAAGTACGTGTGAAGGGTAAGTACAGCCCCCCGTTTCAAGCTACAGTATCTCGTGCTTACTCCCTTGATTATAATGTAGTTTCGTTGAATTTTCAGAACACAGATGTAGGTTAGCACTGTTTAGTAGTGGAAGGGCAACGAGGAATACCTACAAACCTTTCTCCTGCGACTGCGGGGCAGCATCCTTACGCACACAGCAAGAAAAAGATTCTGTGCGGGCTCTTTGGTGAGACAATAATAGCTCCACACCTACACGTAGACAACGGGCGAATCACCTCTCGGCGTCGTCTCCCATGGCATCGCGGGACTTGGCGTCCTTCAAGGCAGATGCATCCATTTTCTCCAGCTTTTTGGTCAGGATGTTGCCGCACATGATCTCCAGAGGCCTGTCCAAGCCTTCCATGCGGATCGCCACGTGAGGCACGCTGAAGGAGTCCACGAACTGGCCGATTCTCACCGAGCCATTCATGTTCGGCTGCACGTTCACGATCCTGGATACACACCACGGATGGGAACGAGTCGAGTTTGCATGTTTTGACGAAGGCAGCGGGCTGTGGCGTCACTATGTACGTTGTCCCCGACGTAGACTATGATGCGCGCGCACTACCACTCAGCGTTGGGAGACGAGAGCGAGAGAGAGAGAGAGAGAACGTGACTAGTACAATGTAGCGAAACCTTGCTTGTGAAGAACATTCAGAATCCATCCTATCATGTCGTATCTGAAGCGTCTGGACGGCTCGTTTCGTCTGACCCTGCTCCTCCCATCATGCCCCGTCAGACATACTTTCGATCCGGTACCAGCTTCCGGCCCCCGTTTCTCCCGCTGATAATCACTGCCGGGGGGGGCGTTGCTCACCATAACCAGGTTTGTATGTGCCAACAGTTCCGCAACCGTTAACAACAGCGAGGAACACAACACAACTCACTTATCCTTGTGCATGAGATGCCCCTTGCCGTTGATGCGGAACATCGCCCCCGATCCGCACGAGAGGGATATGGTGGGAAGGTCGGCTTCCGCATCATCCATGAGGTCTTTCGCAGTCTTCTTGCCGGCTGTTTTCTTGAGGGACGTCACCTTGAGGTCGACAACCGATCTTCATGCGCATGTGCGCCAGAGCCGAGTAGGAACAAAAATCACAGACAAAAAACATTGTCAAACACATGCAGAGAAGTCTAAAAATCTCGCTTTTTTGAAAGAAAAAACTCAAGGCCCATTTGAGCGTGCATCGGTGGCGGTCAAGGGTTTCGGCCGAGTTGGATACACCGTTTCAATTTCCTCTGCAGATTCGCCCCAATGGAAAAATGGGGCGCGAAGCGAACAAATTTCGAGCCCGTCCTCGAAGGCACAAGAGATTGCCGTATTCCAGGTGCGGTCAGAGTTCTCATTCGATTCGAAAACTACGCCTCGAACGCGACACAATTCCAGTTCTTCCAAAACTCAACGACTTTTAACCGTGGGTCCATGTGTCCATAATCATGTCTGGCATAGCTAGCCCAGGTGGGTGGGCCAGGGTTGCCAGGACTCACAGGAGGTGCTCCCTAGCGTCCCTCCCAGACACCATGACTTCTTTCTGCATCCACAGGCCCGTGCCTTGGTCCATCATGTGGTGCATTAGGTTCCCGTTCTCTGCAGGTTGTCGACGGGTGTTGGGTGTGGGATAAGGAAGGGAAATTCAGAAAGAAGCAGTTCCGAGGAGTAACGGACAGCGCCAGTGTACGCCCACAGCGATTCTTTAGGGCGGGACTACTGGGTGCTTCTTCATGAGGCTTTCTCCCTAGTCAGGGATTGATATACCGAGCAACCGCTTCCTTGTTGACATTCTGTGTTACGTGGCGAACGCCGGAATGTCTAGTTCACCTTGGGTCACAACCGAGAAGAACATTTCTACTATGCTGCCATCCATGATGATCCCAAAGCACCGGTCCCCGATACCCTCCTACGGCGTGCGTGGGCTATAAAAACGCGCGCGCGTGCACTTACTGTTGATGTTGTTGACGTGGACGTTTCCGATGGAGTCTATGTGGCAGCTGAACGCCTCAACGTTGGGCAGGATATCGATAGGCTCATCGAATTTGCTGCCCTCCTCGGGGTCTTGCGACGTGTACAGCAGCTTGCCGTTCTCCTGCGTGGCGGACAGGTGGGTGAACGGGGTTGGTCAAGGCCGTTACTTTTGTAATCCACCAGGTAGTGCAGTTTCCCGTTGGCACTTTCTGAGCCAACCACAATTCAAGGCCCTTCCAACGTGGTTGCGCTGCCTTTTCTCTGCCGGGGCACGCGCGTTTCGCTCCACATCTGCGGGAAGACGAGCAGCAGGTTACGCCATTTGACCAATGCACTGTCTGTGTTTATACTGCCGTCTTTTCCCAGCTTCACGTACCAGCAGGATGAAGACGTGCCTGATGTACTGCTTGTCGAGCATGGTGCGCATTTCCTTGGCAGGGGAAGTGAAGTCCACCGCGTTCACACAGACGCTGTTCAAAAACAGGGGGGAGAGGAGCTATGAGATCCTCCGCCGATACGAGTTGCGAGGGTAAGCGCCTACAAAGTTCTCAAAGCTTTTCGTGGGCTTAGTTTCGTCGGTGGGTACACAAATGACCGCCTTGTCAACCGTTTAGAGTACGTCCGGTGGTCGTAAACGAGAGGGATGGCACTTGTGAGTGGGATCTATGAACGAGAGGGGCCGCAATGTTGTTGTTGTTGTTGTTGTTGTTGTTGTTGTTGTTGTTGTTGTCTTCACATTAAAAACCGTTCCGATCTCTCTCTACCCAGTACCTTCGTATGTCCGTACTGATCCAACACTCGACGCGGTCGATTCCCGTGGTCACAGGTTAACTTACCCTAAAAAGGTACACTCAAATAAACTGGCCCCGAGGGGTCCGCAAGTCAATAGAAATCAACGACAGATATTCTGGGATCCTCCGCTCCCACTTCGCGCTATGCGAGGTATCAACTGAGATTAGCAGTCACTATCTATCATGGGCCGGAGAGAAAGAGGTACACCCCCTTGGTTCAATCTTGGTACTTCACAACGCAAGCAGAGACAAGGCCATCTGGCACAGAAAAAGAGAGAAAAAATGATGCGACGGGATAGGGCGACAAACCTACTGTACCTTGCCCTCGTGAGTTCGAGGCAGGTCTGGACGGGGTATGCGCTGGGTACGAAGCACTCGGTCATGCACAGGTACAAGGAGCATCCACAACGCAGCGTCTAGGGTGAAGACTACACCGCCGGTACTCGTGAGCTCAGGCGCTGACTTTGTGGCTTGTATCCATCCATAACATTAGCAAAGTGAGCATGACGGCGGCGAGTGGAACGGCCAGCCACGGACTAAACATCCCCTGTGACGAACAATCGCCAGTGGCATGGGCTGCAAGTCATGCTCGACGGTTGTAGAATCGATTCACGGCTCAGGCCACATGCCGAACCTAGTGTAGTACCGGCGCGCGTAGAAAGCGTTTCAGTTGCAGCTCACCCAGCGCTTTCGGTGCTCCCGTCCCAAGACCTGTCGTCGTACCACATCGCCTTCTTGCTGCCGGCCACGTACACGTCTGTCTTGAGTCCCTGAAGAGCGCAGTCAACATATCCAAATTCCCATCGTTCGGAAGGAGATCGTCATCGACGGGTCAGTGTTGATGTTTGGAGAGGTACAGATAGAAAACGATTGAAACTTGTCTGAAGGGTGTCCGTTTCCTCGCCATTGCCGCAACTTCCGCGGGAGAAAATCTACGTCGTGGATTTCTGAGACAAGAATCAGGAAAGGATAGCCGGACGCAAAAGACGAACAATCAAACTGGGTCTGTCCCAGACAAAAACAAGATATCAAGGTCACACTCAGAAACACCAACGAAGAAAGGAATTTCAGGAGCAGTCAATTCGGGCTGCCTACTGTGAACACTTACGTAGGCAGGGGTAGTCATGAAGCAGCGGGTGTCGCCGGGGATCTCGATTCTGCCGGCGTAGAATCCTGGGTCGTTCAGGGACTGCGCGTAGAGCATGGAGGGCCGGATCTCGGTCTCGTCGTCCGACGTGTCGCTGCTGTCACCGGCAGCGGCTGTCTCCTTGGGGATGGCCGCGGGTAAGGCCACAGCGATCGCGAAAGTCTCGCCGTCCTTTTCGAGGGCGGAAGCTTGAACGGTGGATACCTTGTGAGCAAGGTGTGGGTTGGGAGTGTTAGCAAAGGGCACGCAACTGAACACCTTGCGTAAGGATAGGCAGAGAGGCCAGAGCCGGGGAAGGGGGACGCGGCCAGACGAATCCTTGGTTCCGGCACCGAAAGGAATGGTCAACGCGATATAGCATACTTCAGGATCCCCTTTTCTTTGTGGGGCAAATCTAGAAGGACCTGATGTGGTAAATAACAAGCAAATACGCACTTGGCTCTAGAAATCATCTACCACGCATGCAACAAGATAGACGTACCCGAAGCACACAACAACTAGTTGGAAGCGCGTAACAGCCGGGAACCAGGTCTCTTCGTTCGAAAAGGTGTGTGTGTATGCGTGATTTCTCTCTTCCCGAGCGGCCTGTTCCATCGGCCAACCTTGTCTGTACCTGTTGGTTGGAGGCTGCCATGGCGCGGGGCTTGGGGAACGTGGACATCTGCAGATCCTCGTTGCCGAGGGAGGTGCCGTAGAACACCCGACCCTCGTTGTGTTCGTCCAAGGCCCCCACGATGACCAGGCGCTCGCCGGTGGCAGACGTCGTGGCGGATGTCCTCTTCACCTGACGTTGTTGGTTGTTGTTGGTTGGTTGGTAAGAAGGTGTGGGGATATATTTAATCGATGTCTTGGAAGTCGGGATGATGCAAATGTCAACGACTGGTACTGGCAGACACTGAAGAACATGCGTGGGGACCGGCCTGCACACAGTGTCACATGCCGAACCGAAACCTTCTTGTGGATGACTCGTGTTCCATTCTACCACACCAACAATCAACACCGACATCACAAGAATTCATAGACGATCCCATCAACAAAGAATACAACTGCGGATGGATACATGCACTTGGGTCATATTGTCTGCATTTTTTGCTGACTGCACAACTCTACACCTTGGTGCCGACGAAAGACCCGCACGCTGTCCAGTTGAGGGTTTCGTCCCTGGAGTGAGCAAGCTTGTCGCACACCCACACGACGAACTCCGCGCTCTCAGGGGCGACGCGAGTGTTGCCGCCCACGCTTGCCGGCTTGAAGTCTTCCGGAGCGAACACCGCCACAAGGAACGGCTCTTCGCCTTCACCCTGTCGGACCGCATCAATACAAACACGTTTAGTGTACGGCCGAACGTTGTTGTGTGTGATTTGTGATTGTTTATGTTTATGAAGGAGCACCTACTTAAGTTTATATTTATATTTTTCTTGTACCTAAAAGTTTCTTTTTTCGTTGGTAGCCTTGTTGTTCGTGCGCCTTTCATCACTCGACAAGTGGGGATGGGGCTTCAGTCTTGGCTGGATTTTAGGGAGTGGTTCCCACGTTTTTCTGGTGCGGGTTATACGTGCTTACGTTCATGCATGAGGGCGGAGCCTTGTTAGCGAGAAACACGCTGCACACATGAATAAGGTCAAAGAGATAGACCTCCAACGCAGGGCCAAATTCGAAACCTCAATCCAGTGTTTGGGAGCATGCTCTGGCTTGTTGTTGTGGTCTATTGGTTGCCGCGCTGCAAATCCCGTGGAGGAACGGTGATCTCAATACGCTATACACACAAACCTGTCAACAGAAGGACAAACCCACATACGCGAACCGTTCTAAGCGATGATCACCCCGACACTGAGATGAGCCCATTCCACCTGCACATTGACTGGACTTCCGTCAACCGATGGTACGAGATACCGACATCAACAACTCCCTTTGGTGATAACACGAGTTAGTTCACCTTGGTGGCTTCGATGTACACAGCACGCTTGCCATCGAAACGGGCATCTCCCTTGGTCAAGTGCTTAATGCTGTAACCAGTAGAAGACTCAGAGTCCACCCACAGCATGCTGATGCCCGCAGCGTGTTCGTGGCCGCTCTCTTCGTCAACGCTGTCAGGGGTGGAGAGTGGGTATTGCTCAATGATTAGAAAAAGTGAAGGTAATAACAGCCTCAACGCCTATGAGTGGGCGGAAGGATGGCGGACTCGCTTCTATGGTCAAGAAGGGTACACAAGCACTCGACAGAAAGAAATGGGCCGCAGCGACAAAGCGCTCAGAACGACGACAATCACCGAGAGGGCTACTCAAGGTTGTGCCCAATTACACGTATCATCGCAATGGCGGTGCTGCTGTGATTGGTATGATTGCTGGCGGTGACAGGAGGTAGCAACACGCGTTCTCCTAGACCTGACACCACCAATGTCTGTGCCAAGGCACCGTTGGCTAGGATATCGGAGGTCGTGCAGAGCTCGGAAGCGGCAAAGGGGGGGTGCTGCACATGCTCACCAGCGCATTTTGACCGTTTGGGAACACATCAAGCAAGTCTCGCAAGACTGAACGCAGACTTCTTCACTACGTGAGAACAACACCAAACCAAAATTATCTCATGATTTGAAAACATACTCTTCGCATCGCAAAGCGGCATAACCCGACACCCGTGTGCAGACATGCAGACGATGGAATACTGTGTTGGAACTCCATGTGGGACATTGAGGAAAACAATATCGCGACGGCTGCCTTCCTTTCATTTTGTCCAGAGTTCGGCGGGGGGATAAGATCAAACTCATTCTTTCAAGTCCTGGGACCAGATACGGCAGCAGCTTCCAAACGTGCTATTCCTAAACGAACATCTGCATTAATACCTCGATGGCGTGACTACGAAGACGGATAGGTCGCAGTCGTCCTTGCCGTCTTCTTCCATGGCGGCTTCGCACGACGTGAAGCTTTTGAATGCCACCGGATCGGGCGTTACGTAGCCACCTGATTCCATGGCCTTCACGACCTCAGTCTCGATGCTCAGCTGGAACTTTGGGGCCTGCGAACATGAAAAGTAAAAGGCGTATGAGCAAGGTGGCCTTGTTGCTGCTGCCTGTCGCTATTTTCACGATTGGGAGTTGAGGCTGAGTTCGTCACGACAGGTTCAGCATGTGGGGTCACCGGACCAGGCTTGGCTTTTCAGAGTCACTTACCCTCGTCTATCTCTCTTCGCGCTCGTGAACCTGTGTATTTTGTTGTATTTGGGCTACCAGTCAGGACCTGGGCTCAGGGTAAGGGCGGAGCGACCCAACAACAGAATATAACCACTGCACTGTACGTATGCGATTTTTCAGATTATTCTGTCGGTTTCGCTCGAAACCAGTGCCGGTATGGGCTCCAAGGATTATTTCCCCTAGGGCTTGTAGGATGGTAACGTACCCAGTTTATGTGGGGGTCCGTAAGCAGCAACCACGTGAATCGACTCCTCGAATCTGGTGAACGATAATAGGCAGGTGCGCGGTGTGGGCACGGGTAGGTACACGAAAGCACCAACGGATCGACTGACGGTGCTTGCCGATCACTATCACGGCGATGGAAAGGTTTAAGAAGAAACGAATAATCGGAATGCTTACCACAGTGGCACTGGGCGCTACGTCCTCGGAGGGCGGTTGATCCTTCGTAGCACCGCCCGTGCTGCCGTTGGCAGGCTGCTTTCGCTCTTGCTCCTGGCCCTGGTCCTGATCCTGGTTCTGGCTGGCGGCTTTGGCTGCGGCCAACTCCTTCGCTTTTGCGGCCTCTACCGCAACCTTGGAATCCACCTTGAAGGCCGTGCCGCTGCCGGAAGGCTGCGGACTTTCCTCCTGGTCCTGGTTCTGGTCCTTGTCCTGGTCCTGGTCCTGGTCCTGGTCCTGGTCCTGGTCTTCGCTGGCGGCTTCCGTTGCGGCGGTTTCCGCTGCGGCGGCTTCCGCTGCGGCTGCTTTCGCTGCTGCAGCGGCGGCGGCCTTTGCTCGAATGGCTTTCATGTAGGGGCTCCCAAGCTTCGCCTTCTGAGCTTTCTTCATCTGTTGGTTGTCGGTTACAAGCGCGTCGGACAGCATATGACAGCTAAGCACTAGGTGCAACAAGCGAATGCGCTATTGACAGGCAGAAATGGAACGACAATAGACTCGAACCAGGCCTGTGGGAAGCAAGCCGAGTAGGCACAAAACTGAGTACTGCTAAGAATTTCGGCGTGAAGATAATTTTGCTCAGAAATACGTTGTGAAGGACTTTACATTTCGTTGTGATGAAGTAGGGCTTGCGATGCCCGATCACCCCCAGGAGCTGAACATGGGCCCTCATCGTAAAACACCCCACGCAGAGAGTATCTTCCGCCTGTCTCCCTATTCGATCCTATGAAGATGGATGTACGATATCGTTGGGATATATTCTGTCCTGCCTTGAAATTTCTCGTTTCAGTCGGCGTTTCGGACATGAGGTGGCTAGCCCAAGTAGCACCTGACTCACTGGTCTCGATCTACAGCTCAAACTCATTGAATTATGGAAGTATTAGTTGTCCAGACACAGACAAAAATAGTCCCGTCGCCTCCGCTCGTTCTGATCAAGTCTTTCCCCAGCGCTTGTGTTCATCTCCTCACCTTAGACATGTTGAACTTGGCCTTCTTGTGCACGACCGCAGAGCCGCCGTCGTCCACCAGCTGAAGGGCCCCCTCGTCGGCGTCGAAGGTGTAGGGCAGGTCAAGGATGGAGCCGCTGTGGCAGCAATCCATAACCACGGACAGGACGACGCCCTCCGGCAGGGGTAAGACCAACTGCCGCAGCCAACACACCGACAGGAAAACGAGAAATTGATGGATATCGGAATTCGGTATGTGGCGAGTTGAAACGGAGAACATATGTAGGACAGAGAAGTACCGGAATCAGCACCGACCCAGACATGACGGTACAGGATGGGAAATGAAGAAGTTTCTTCGTCGATAACACAGAACAGGCCGACGTACAACGTGAAACGGCAAGAATCGTACGTGGCGTTATGTCTGGAAGCCAGGGGAGAAAGACTTAAACAAAAACTCTTCCTGTCATACCGCAGCACAGGGCTTGGCGGTACAGGACGGTAATCGATCGTTCTTAGGGTATCAGCAATCCATGTACCAGAACATTCCCATCACAGCCAAGAACAAAACCACCATGGACGGTCACCCTCAACATCGAAAACACCGAAAAACACCAACAACAAGCGGTGCAAACCTCGGCGAGGAGTTCATCATCCTTGATGTGCCCGGACACGCGGTAGTCGACGGGGATCATGGTCTCATCCCTCTTGTCCTTCTCGTTGTTGTCGTTATCCTCCACAGACCCGCCGTGTCCTGTGAACGCAAACACGCGGAAACCAAAGTGAAAATGGGATACCGTAATCGATCCCATTGTTCAACCCGACCCCGACGGTAGTGGAATGAATAGATGTTCAAACCTTTGGCTAGCACTCGGGGGGACGGAATCAACCAATCATAATTCCAACGTCTGCCATCACTTCAAGTGCACTGCTATGTACCCCGATTTCGTTCATATCCGTGTTGCAGCATATCTCATTGCAAGGGCTAGGAGGACAAAAATTCACCGGAGTAATGCATGAAGAGAGAGTCACCCGGCGCGGCACCCTCGACGAACCACCTGGGCAAAATGGGCGTTACGACGGAGGAAAATGAAGGATTAAGAAGAGAAGAAGAATCGAACGAGCTATATAAGTGGATGCCAAAGGAGAGTCATCGGCATTTACCTTCGACCACGACATGCCAAGACAGACCAAAGATGCACGTGGGTGATGAGCAGCACGCATGTGCTTTGGCGACGGTCAAGGGGGTCGTACGAGAAAGTGAACGAGCGCGATGGTTGTGGGGGTCTCTGATTCACGAAGCGACGAGTTGTCGCCTACAACAACAGACTCGAGTACCAGACGACAACGACGACGACGACGATGGCACAACCGACAATAACACCAATATTTCACTGGATGAAATTGCAGCAACAACGGCAACTCACTCGATGGCTTCGATGATGTTAGCCCTGGTAGGGGCGGTATGCTCCCCGTCATCCATCACGATCTTCAGGTCTTCGCCTTCACCGGAATAACCCTGAAACATTTGAGAATGCGTGAGATATTCGCGGGGGCATGACATGCGGTGGGAATCACCCCTGCCTATGATGTTCCGCCTAGAGTCCACTTGCACGGTCCCTGTGCATGATACTGTAGACGTTTGAACATGGAGATGTGGATCAAGACCCGCCATCTTGGCCATGTTCGAAAGAAAGGTGTCTTTGTTGTTGCTCACGTGCTCCACGATGTAGTCCTTCATCTGGGCGACGTCGTTGTGGCAGCCCTTGAGCTCTGCCGACTTATCCCCGACGTAGTTGATGCCGATGAGGAGGGCTCGGTGCTTCCCTCCCTCGCCCTTACCACACAACAGGCGAATCGAGAGCGCCAAATGAACTAGTGTAGCAGTTGTATAGGGTTGCTTCGCTTTAAAAAGATCGCGCACGCGTCACACTCAACAGCCAGTATTTAACATGACGCCAGTATTTAACATGATGCCTTTGTGTACGAGAACAGCTGCTTCTCACAGAGGTAGATCGGCCGCACAGGCCCCGTAGAGATCGCACCCCTTTCATCTCGGGCATTGTGCACCAGCAATATCATGTTAGCATTGATTTCAACCTCGTCGGAGGGCTGTCATAGATATCTAGTCCAACTTACCCCTAGCCAGGTCATGTGCATTGTTTCTTTGGTCGATCGGGCTACACGTTTATAGCCAGAACACTCCAACGTAGGGAACAGTCCTCGTTAGTGTATAGCGGTAAAATAGTTGCCGCTACGCACCGTAAGCGCTTCTCCATCTCTTACCCCAGCCAAGGAGAAGGGCGAATGGATGTCGAGCTTCTTGGAGGTTGCCATCTGCGGAATCTGTTGGCGGAACGCAGCGAACGAAAGAACGAAAGAACGGACAACAAAAAAGAAAGCATAGCGTTTCGGTTGAGGGAAACGTATCGCGACGTGGTTCTCGGTTATTTGGAACCACACCCGCTCCGAAGTCCGAATCTCCGGCCATCTCCTACTGGCCGTTTCGCGAAACTTCTACGAAACGTCGAGTATTGTGTTGTTTATATTGTAAGATGTTGTTAACGCCATGAGCATGCAAGCGATACTAACAAGCAACAAGCACGACATGTGCGGACGTTTGGCGAGCCGTTTCTAACAAGAAAGTACACAGATACATCAAATCTCATGCGCTCGCCGCGTGGTTTCAAAGGGAAGTCGGGTTTACGAGCTGAAGCTGTTTGGCAACACGAACCCCAGGTTTACCTGCTTGAACTTCTTGGTGCTGAGGGTGGTGCGCATGCCCTTCAAGAGGCTCATCCAGGAGTCGGGTTCATCGTCTTTCTGTATAACACAGGAGAGAAGAAAATGAAAAGGAGGAGAAAGGAGTCACAACAGCTCCAACAGACCAAGCGGGAAGGCCGAAGCACGATACCTACGGTGGTGTTTTCAGGTTCGAGGGCCGATGTGGACGTGTCCATGGCGGTGATACAGCAGGTTTGTGCAAACCACATTGACAGGGAAGATTCACAGATCTGGTTGGACGTTAACCTCAAATGGACACGTTCTTACGGAAAGGACAGCACATGCATGTAGGCCAAACACGTCCGAAACACCATGACAAGGGCAGCAACAACAACAACAACCAACACAGCAGCCCCCAAAACTTGCCACGTTGACGAGGAGCGCGTTGGTGCAGGCACCCCCGGCGCCGCCGTCAGATTTGGGCACGCCGAACTTGGTAACGTCGTGGACATCCGCCGAGGTCTGCTGGTCCTGGCACCCCGAGAACATCCTGCGAAGAGGAAAATCAACAAAAATATTTTTAAGATAGCACGAGGATACCACCTTACGAAACAGTCAAACGACACGCGACACACCGAACGTCGGCAAAATGAACTCTCAAAGAGGCCAACAAGCTAAAATGACTGTAAAAGTAAGTTGGTGTTATCGACGTCTTCCGGGGGCAGGGGGCATTCGTGTTCCGAAGAGGACTGGGAAACTGTGCAATCTAACGCAACAAAGTCAACGGCGTGAGAACCAGACTACTTCAAACGCCCACCTGACGTCTGCCTTGATGCCATCGGCAATCTCAGTGTCGAAGTCGTCGTCCGACATGTCCTCCGCCCGGGTGTCGGGCTTGAATGCAGACACGCACGTCACAAACAAGGGTTCACGTTGTCGTGGCTTGCACGGATGACGATAACAGTATTCGTTGATGTATGGCTAAGTGAAGGTGCTCGCGAGTCCTTCACGCATCCCCCAACGTTTGGGTGGTCAAGGTCATGATCTGTTCAAACCCGTCGGTGCGAGTGGTGCCTTGTTCGAGATCGCCGTTCGGGAATACAGAGCGTTCGACTTTAGATTATTACTCGAGGGAGAGATGTTTTTTAGCCTTTCTGGAGAAGAAGTCAGGAAGGTATGTGCGCCGAGGAGGTTCTCCCGAGTTGCCCCGGATCGTGCCTCGTCAGCAGAGAAGGGAGACCCATGCCGAGTCACTGGAAACTGCCAGCGCGGACGGTAAACGGCGAAAAGACAATGAATAGCAGAGCCAACAACTGCACACACGCCTGTTGTTACACGCTCCAGCCTCCGATCCTAGTTTAAATTTCGACTATCGAGGGTGTGACCCAGGAGTCTCGCCATGTCTTGAAAATATTTTGGCTTGATGTCACCCCTTTCGTGGTAGCTGGAAGGACGAGCCAACGACTGAAGGCAGACAACTGGTTTCCGTAACACACGGCACAACAGCTAAACTACAAAATATTAACGCCGCGCAACCTCCTCACCCCAGGAGGGTCGCCACTGTTGTCCTGTTCCGGACCATCGATCATGGTGCCGTTGATGGTGGTGCCGTCGTCCTCCATTCTGGAGTTGCTGTTGCGGTTGTTGCTGTTTTCGTAGTCTGGTCGATGTGTGTGCTTGGTGGACACCCTGTGCCAAGCTGCAGAGACGGAAGGAGCGGCCGCCCCGCGGAAAGAAAATATTGGTCTTGAATTCATGCAAGCAAGCACAGGGAGAATGCATGCATAACAGCCAGATGTTGATACCCATGCACGAAAGGGCTACTCAGCTAACATGGACCTCATCCAAAGAGTCCAGCAAAAATGGCGCTTATTAAAGAACGCGCCACCGCTTGAAAACCGCTTAGGTTGCGTGAGGCTCGACGCTTATTGGTTGCCTCAAACCGAGCCCATGCTGTTATTTTCAAAAACCTTGTTTAGAGCAGGAATCTACCTACAGTAGGATTTAACGGGTTCTTGTTCCTATTTGTACGCGGATTACCCCATGCAGAGCACAAAACAAAGATCTTGGTAGGTGGATTTCAACATGCTCCTAGGAGTACAATAGCGTGTTTAACGCCACCAGTAAAATCGGGCACACCCTTGGTTGCGGCTCCAAGTGCGAAGACCGGGTTCATGTAGTTGCGGAATGTCCGTTGCACGACAAGGAGGGGAAATTATGCATGCTTGAGCTGGGGAAAGTAGAAGGAAGGTACAGGGAGACGTTTGGGGAATGCAATAGCCACGGGAAGTAGGTAGCTGTAGTGGGGCATAGGAAGTGGGTTGAATAGGCGGAAAGTGATATCGATAGGATAGACAAGCCAGGGACAACGTTTTTGAGCCACCTTTGGCAATATAGGAAGGGGCGATGGCCATATTTGATGGGTCCTGTTGGAACAGTGCCCCGTTCTCTCGAGGACGCGCGGTCATAGTCAAACGACTACAGCATGCACGACTATGAGTACCCCCTCCTCGACCCCCCCCCCGGTGTTTGCCATCGGGGTTGGGTATTTCGTCGCTTCACAACGACGTTGTAAAACAAGCCGCCCCCCCCGGTGTTTTCCATCCGGATTGGGTTTTCGTCGCTTGGCAACGACGTTGTAAAACAAGGCAATTCACTTCGTGAACTCGGCAACCAGGTTACCTATTTTTTTTTACCTTCGTTTTTTTTTTGGCGGTAACCATAATGGTGGTCGAGTAGATCATGTTGTGCGGGGTGGAGAACCCTCACGCCGCGCAAAGGGGATGATCGCACCACGTTGTGTTAAATTGGTCAAACATCCTCGAGGCAGCTGCACAGTGCTTACAACTGTCTCTGGAAGTGAAAGCACCAGAAAATAAATTAAGTCATACGCAGCTGTCATCTGTACGCAAGGAAGTAAGCACAAGATGCCGAACACCCTTAGCAGGATGCCGCGCACCCTTCATGCGACTTGCCGAATACCTCACAGCGCTTCGCGCTTGGTGATGTGAGAGCCTGGTCCGGTGAGAACCCGGCGTGCCCCGTCCCGGCTTTGTAGGGATGCGAGGTCAACGGTCTAACGACTACGGCATGCACGACTATGAGTACACCCCCCCCCCCCCCTCGACCCCCCGCCCGGTGTTTGCCATCGGGATTGGGTTTTCGTCACTTGGCAACGACGTTGTAAAACAAGCCCCCTCCTCGGTATTCGCCATGGGGATTGGGTTTTCGTCGCTTGGCAACGACGTTGTGAAACAAGGCGATTCACTTCGTGAACTCGGCAACCAGGTTACCGTTTTTTTTTTACCTCTGTTTCTTTTTCTGCGGTAACCATACTGGTGGTCGAGTAGATCATGTTGTGCTGGGTCGAGAAGCCTCACTCCGCGCAAAGGGGGGTGATCGCACCACGTTGTGTTGAAATGGTCACGCATCCTCGAGGCAGTTACACAGCAGTGCTTATAACTATCTCTGGAAGTGAAAGCACCAGAAAATAAATTAAGTCATACGCAGCTGTCATCCGTACGCAAGGAAGTAAGGAAATAAGCACAAGATCCCGAACACCCTTAGCACGATGCAGCTCACCCTTCATGCGACTTGCCGAATACCTCACAGCGCTTCGCGCTTGGTGATGTGAGAGCCTGATCCGGTACGAACCCGGGGTGCCCCGTCCCGGCTTTGTAGGGATGCGAGGTCAATGGTCTAACGAATACGGCATGCACGACTATGAGTACCCCCCCCCCCCCCCCCTCGACTCGCACCCTCCATATGTGACTCGCCGAGTACCTCACTGCGCTTCGTGGTTCATGATGTGAAAGTCTGGTCCGGTGAGCGTGCTCCGTCTCCCGCCTTTGTAGGGATGCAATGTCAATGGTCTAACGA